GGGGAATTCAAGAAGAAGTTAGCTTACTGATACATAGTAAAAAATATTTAGGCTTAATTTTAAAATGTGTTTATCATGAGCTTCATCGGAGCAGCCTTTCTCAATAATAGAAGGGCTGTATTAAACCTAATTGCATAAGATCGGTCTCTAGGATTCAAAAAAATATTTAAGCAACGCTAAGCGGGGAATGAGAAAACCAAGACATCAAATATAATGTAAATGGACCCAAAAAAAAAAGATAGCGTTTCCAACTACTCACTTTGTGTATAAAAAGAATTCTTAAAAGAGAAAATCCTACATGAATATTCTCACATGCAATCATCTATACGCACGTCTAAATATTTACATATATTATACGCTTACGGTTAGAAAAAAATCTACTTTTTCAATGATGCTACACGCTGGCTCAAAAAAATCTAAGTGTATTTGTCTATTGCATGTGGACAAGATAAATTCTTCATAATATTGCTTATGAAGTCTTTTTTCCCAATATTTCCCTTTTGCTGAGGTATGCTACAAGTAGTTAAAGTTATCATTTTATTCCAGTTGCTGTACTGCCTAAAAAAAAAACTCATAAAATATTACAAACAGATAAAAAAAAAACTCTAATAATGGATACAAAATACCGAATGAATAACTTAGAGATTCTTATCCATTACGCTTGGATTGGCCATGAGACTTTGAAATTACCTATTCGTGGATTTTTGAGGGCGATTAGTTCAATAAACCAAGTTCTATAAAAGGATGCATTCTGAAATACTGTTAGAATGAAATCACAGATTTGCATAATAAAAAAATCCGAAACAAAATAAACTATATGCAAAGTTTCTTTGGAATTCCTTCTTTTAAAACTAGAGAATTCGATAAAATGAATAGACGCACCAGAAACCCAATGTGCCGGAAGATGGTGTGTTCACATTACTTCGCATGTTGTGGTTTTAAAATCGGACTAGACACTACTGACGAGGACGCGCTATTAGGCTGACTACCCTCTAAATACTCATAATCGGACACGTACTCATAGCTACCCTCGGTACAGAGATCCAAACCCCTCTTGTTCGTGGAGTAGCTCTCGTATTCATCGGTGGAGGATGTGGCCACCTGGTAGGGGTCCCTGTGGACGGCGGAGCGCCTAAATTGTGGATTTTGAGAATACGGACTTCGAGAATGCTGAATTCGCGAATTTGGGGATCGTGAGTGTGGGTTTCGCAAGTGCAAAACTCGCGAATGTGAGGTTCGCGAGTGTGAGGTTCGCGAGTGTGAAGTTCGCGAACGTGCGGTTCGGGCCAGTCCCTCGCGGCTCGCCCCGTAGGGTGACCTCTCCAAGGATGGCCCCGCGTCGATCAAAAGCGGGCCGAAGGATCCTCGGCTGTTGGCCTCGTCAGGCCCCCAATTCGAGCACGGGCCGGGCTCGCTCCCCGGCACCGCCTGGGTGGATTTGGAGCCGAGCAGGGAAAGATTCTTCTCGTTCTCGGGGATCCACAGCCGGTTGGTGCGCTTCTCCCTCGCCGTGCTGCAGGAAACCCGCCGAAGCAGCAAAATCATCGTCAGGATCAGACAGACGAAAACGTAGCCCAGCCTGGCGTAAACGGGAATGAGGAGGTAGAAAAAGGAGTACCCGAGGCCCCCCCGCTCAAGGAAGGCCGCCACCAGGTAAAGAGAGATGAGCAGGTTGCCGTTACTAAAAAAGGACACGAGAACGTCAAAGGCAACCCCGGCCTTGTTTCGAACCCGCATGGTGTAGAACATGGAACTACGTAAAACAACTTCTATCACACACAGACCCGCACGGACGCAGAATGGGATAAAAACGATATACCACGAGTGCTTGAACCTCTGATCGATCTTCCGCGCTAACAGAACCCACTGCGCAATTCCACAACTCAGGTGAAGGAAGGCCATGAGAAAAATGCCGTAGCAAATCAACGACCTTTTTCGTTTATCGTCAATCTGCATCTGGAGACGTATGCGGTTCGGCCAACGCCAAATCAATGAGGTCAAATAGTAAAAGATATCCCCTAAAATAAGTATAGACAAATAGACCATGTAATGCCCAACTCCCTTATCATCGTTTTTCGTCAAAGCAGAGGTTATCACAAAGGGCACGCACGAATAACACACCGCCGCGAGGCAATTCCCAATGGGCGACAGGCGATCAACAAAATTTAAACCCTCTTTATAGCTTTTCGTGCTAGTCAAGTTGACGAGAATAGAAAGGAATGTGAAAAAACACATAATCATGCCGAAAATGATAAGGGGGAGAATCACGTCATCCCATTCCAGAGTCATGACATTCTCAATCTTCGCCGCGAGGAAAACAAAAAAGAGGCCGAGAAGCCCTACCTGGATCAACATAGTTAGGCAGTAGATGATAATAGAGCTGGTGGCGCCAAGAATCGAAATGAGTGGCCCCCACGCACCACTAGCTATAAAGCCGTACACCTCCTCCCCAAGGGCATCGTACAGATGCTTTCGCGTACGGCTGTAAAGCACAAGGTAAGCCTGTTGGTAGTGGTTACGCAGCGATACCCTACGGAAGTTCCATTTCACCTGCTTTGACGTTACAGATTCATCAAGTTCAAGAAGGTAATAAAGACGCCAATGGCGCTTATTTGGTGGATGTACACACATATTTTATGAGATCACAGTCTCACAGTAGATTTTATATATAAGCTTCTTAGAGTCTACACCAAAGAGGAAAGGATGAAGACTATTAGCTAATTTTTTCACTGTTTGATGTACAGATTTGTGTATGTACTTTTGTGAAAAGGTAATGAAGAAAAAGGCGAAGAGGTACTATTGGTTATTAGTTAGAATAAACGTACAACACTAACAAGATACATCCATGGTAGTACGGTATAAAATAACACTTGATCGGTAAAGTCTTTCGATTAGTTAGTCTAACACATACAAATCATATTTCTAGTTGAAAAATGTTTTGTAGAAATTACACAACGGAAACAATATAGGATGTTTTACCATTGAAATACGATGATATGTCTATTTCTAGGAATCTGACAACGGGTTCAAGTGGCAACAGGGGCTTCGAAAAAAAAAAGGAGGACAGGAGAACAAAGCTTGTCAATATTACATGCACACTTGATTTAGATACTTATAACAAAGGAAAACCAAGTATATTCTTGGATCATGCAGAAGTGAGACATGGTTAAGTGTCCTACTGCGCAAACAACGAACAAAAAATTTCGCCGCAGAACAACGTAGGGTGATGTAATGAAGGCAAAGATATCGAAGTATATACACATACATACATAGAAACGTTTGTGTGTTTATCCATGTATGAATATATAAAATTTCTGATTTCAGTGGTTGTTGTTAATATTTCTAAACAAAAATAAACCCTGAAAATGGCACCCGATAATCACAAAAGATGGTAGCGCAAAAAAAAAATTGAGGAGTTTACATCAGACGGACTACCGAAAAAAAGAAACATAGCCACGTCACCAAATATGGGGAAGAAAAACATATCTAAAATCAGGAAGTAAACAAGTGAATTATTATGAGAACTTCTACTAGGAATTCTCTCCCACACCTTACTATCCTGATGTCAGTAGGAATTAACTTCAGCAAACAGTAAACTACAAATCTTCTCATCTATCTTCCTATTGCACACAATATGTATTGAGAAAGGGTGAGTGGGGGAATAGTACATTTTCTTAGTATTTTAAAATTTACTCCATTATGCTCCCTAAACAATTTGTGACATGGAAATAAAAATAAAAATATAAAGTTATCTAATCGTGAAAACTATATCTAAAGGGTACCACTATAAAAGCTGGATGAAAAATCCCAATGAGATAGGGATTGTCAGCCCGTTCAAGGCAAATGTAAAGGGTTTGGAAATCTAGAGGTTCGTAAGGGGGAAAATGCTTCACTACTCACCCTTTCTTTTTACACCCTTTTAGATTCTCACTTGAGAAATTCAATTGACAGTATTCAAGAAGCATCTGACCTTGGCATGTGGTCCAGAAACCGCAGGGATCCTCAATCTCCACTAAGCACACCAGCACACTAAGCTTGTCTCTTGCAATACCATAAAAAAAAATGAGCGCAGCGATTTTACCAAATAGACGATAATCGATCTCCTGATCTGGTGTGCGAGTGGTTGCTCGAGGTATAATGATCTTGCTCATACTGAATCTGAACGGGGCGATTGCCAGATGATGTTTGCATCTGAGACATCGGCGTCCGGGACGAGGCTCTTGAGCGCACCGACCCGGCGCGGCTATGGCCCCCTCGGTTTGTAGAGGGTGAAGGCAGTCGTTTGACGCCCCCACTCCGCCCCGCCATCTCCTCATTCCACACCCGCCAGTCATCGCTCAGCGAAGTGCTAAACCGTTTCTCCGCGCGGGCCCGCCGCTGCTCGATGCGATTCACAACTTCGTAGAGAAAGGCCTCGAGTTCGCTCGTCGCGGTCCCCACCACACCATTCCCCGCGAGGTCGTAGAGAGGCGGCGTGCCCTTTCGGAGCTCCTTCGGGAACCGCCCCGTGGAGTTCTCGATATCGATCGACAAGGGCGCGCCCGCGCTCCACACCCCCGGGTGGACCCGGCTCCTCTCCATAAAGCTCAAATTCGAGGAGTCCGCGGATGTCATGGAATGATAGACGCGCTTGGGGAGGGAAGAGGAACCCTTCGCATCCACGGCGGGTGAGCGCCTCCCTTCCGGGGTGCACCCCTTCACATTCCCCGCATCGGGGGCGGGCGCAGGGGAAACGTGGATGTTTGGTGGATTCCCCGAACTTGTTCCAATTTTTCGAACTTGTGAAAAGGTCCCATTACGGTTGACATTTTTGCTTTTCAAAGTTCCCCAGGATCTTTGGTTCGGAGATGTCAAATGGACCGAGCTTGACATCCCGTTCGCATTATTCACTTCTTGTGAAAGAGGCTCACAGGATGGGCGGTTGGATGCGCTGCTCCCAGCTGCTCGCTTCAAAACGCTTGAACTGGAGGAGTGAGAAGCATCCCTTCCTTGAAACTTCAAAAAGTCAGGTAAGGGTATGACAAAGCTGGGGGCCGGTCGAGAGAGCGTCTGTGAGCCCCGCAAAGCCTTTGCACCGACTCCCACAACTTTACGAACCGAAAAGCCAAGAACCACAGTCTGTTGTGTGGGGTGATAACGAAAGGGCACCGTGTATTCTGTCGGCCGATCCGCCTCCACACGCAGCTTGGTCAGATCAATAGAAAACCCTGAAATCTGTCTGTTGTTTTCCCAAAGCGAAAATCGTAATTTCTCACTGTCGCGATACAACGACATGAGGTATACTGTTTGTCGTAAAAAGTTAATCTCGCTGTGTGTGCCACATAGTACAGGAGTGGTGGTATATGCGATAGTACTGTATTGAACCTTTAAGTAGTACTCTGCCCTTTGAAGGAAAGGTGATGCATTACCATTATTAGCGGAATCCGGGTCTAATCGTACGTATTCCAGAGTCAGCTCAAGGCCCTGCTGTTCCATTTTTCCTTCATCGCTCTTCTCCATTAGTTGACACCTGGAACTATCAATGGAGGCGTCATACGGCAACTTATTAAGATGCGATAAATCAGGGTTAACCACCGCTGAAGAATTTCCGTCCAATAGTTGGGGTAAGTGTTGATAATCATAATGATGCGTTATGAGTGAGTTTATTTCGTTTGAGCCTTTGTCTATCTCGACTTTTAAGAAAATAGAAAGTGTTCCCAGCACCTGATCTGACGCATCGCGCATGCTAATGAGGTAGTTTTTCCCTGGTTTATCCATATAAAGCACGGGATTGAGTGTGCCTTTTGCCAGTACAGGAATACCGCCCAGTTGATACTCCAACGGACGAAGCTGAAACATCACCACATCGCTATCCGAAACATAAAGAACGGTAGAGTCCTGCGAAAAGTCTAGCACCATATCCGATCCAGATGGTTTAAAGTAAGATTTTGTAGTGGTTCCTTCTTGCTTGATATGAAGTGGGTTAACTCCACGATGGCCCGCACGCGGCACGCGTGTCCAAACACACTCGAAAGAGGACGTCTCGGGGATGAAGCGGCCCCTGCTGTCTGGTTCAAAAAGAGAAGCCAACGTCGTGGCGCTGCATGAGAAGCGGTGCATGGTAAACTTGAGCGCAAGCATGATGAATCGAGAGCGCTAGGGTTGTTTTAAAATAAAGAAATACTTGTACAAGAAATAAATAATGCCAACAATCAGGCTTGTAAAAGAATGAAATAAGAAGGGTAGAAATTTAAACTTTTGTAGATATTGTATTTAAGATCCCATTTGAAGGAAAAATGGAAAATAATAAATTTTAAACCACTGATTAAGTAAGAGTAAAGCGTTCACCAAACTCAAGATTTTCTACTAACCGGGACACTATTTTTACCCTCCGTCTCTGCGTTGAAAACTACACCCGGAGTGAGTGTGCACGCAGAAAGGGTAAATACGCAGCTAGCTGGATGGCATTTTATGGATACACAAAGGTGTAAACAAATCCATCGATGAGATACTGCAAGTATTTTCCTCCCTGTTTTCAAACGGACCGGAAAAGGTCGATTTCGGTGGCAGGTTCGTGTGCTGTGATCCAGAACAAGTCAATAACGGCCTCTTTAGATCTATAGGACTCTTTCTAGCAAGACATTTTGGATGTAAGCCAGCGCCCTGTCCGATAGCTTGGAGCATCTTAGACTGCTTGTGAAGTCTATGAGCAAAGCCTTCCAGTTGCTTAAACTTTTTGCTGAGCTCCAAGTGTCCTTTTTCCAATTGCTGTCGTGCTTTTTTCAGATCGGTTTTGGAGACTTCCATCAGACGACGACGCACTTCTACAGTACCAGAAGTCTGACTGAGCTTGTCATAAAGTTCAAAGACGGAGCACAGTGCAGCGCTGTTATCATTTTTTTGTTCTTGAACTTGTGTAAGCTGCGCGGCTAACTTTTCCACGTGCTCCTGCCGCGCATATTTCAGTTGACCCTGCCGCTCCATAAAACCCTCAAGCTTTGCTTGGAGATCTAATAAGACCTCACGAACCAAATCCTCGGCAAATGGTAAATCCGACTGCTCCCGATCGCGATTGCCGCCGGAAAGAAAAAAGCCCGAGAGATGTCCTTCGATATCCTCATCCCAAGCTCGCCTCGTGGAAACAACCTCGTTGTGTAGGGTGCCTAACTGAAGTTGTTTAGCCTGTAGGGTCGAGTGAAATGAGTTAAGGGCATGCTGCATTGAGGCGATTGTGCTGTGTACTTTCATCAACAAGGGTCTCACCTTGTTCTGATGATGGTTAAGTTGCTGTTCAAAAGCGCACGTTGCGTCCGAATCGAGCGACTTATCCCACCCATTCAGTCCCACCAGATCACGAGAACGCCGCTCGGTGGAAGAAACCTTGAGCATGTGAACCTCAGTAAGTGCGGAAAATCGTATTTGATCGACCTGGGAACGAATCCGATCCAAAAAGGATTTCAACTCATCAAAAGCCGATGATGCGAGGTCTGAATTCACAGATCGATTTGCGATAAAATGGACGTTTTCGGACGAGGAACGAATTAACTGGCGCCCGCTGATCATCGAGTGCTTCTCAGCCTCTGCCCGTTCTAAAAAGTTCCGAAGATCCCTTTCCAGAGACTTCTCAAGCTGCGCCTCCTTCGCTCGATAGGTTTCTTGGAGGGCGTCAACGCTACGCTGCCCCTGTCCACGCAGCATCATGATGTTTTCCTCAGCCACCTGGCGTACGCGTTGGGTTTGGGCCTCAATCTCCACACGATGCGCGGCTAGCCTTCGTTGACTTTCGAGACCTCGCGTGGTTTGATCGTTTTCCCATTGCTGACGAAGTTCCGCGAATGCGGTATCGCGGTGCCGCCGTAGCTGCGCGCGATACCCGTCGTGAAACTCCCTAAAGCGATGAGCCTGACGGTCGCGGTAGATCCGGAGGGCCCCCTCGCGATCGTCGCGGTCCTTGCGGAAGATCTCACGTCGCTGCTGATTGGCGGAGGTGATATTGCTCGCAATGCACTCACGCAATAACGGCTTAAGGCAACACGCGAACTCAGATTTGACGCCGTCCATCACGTGCTGAAGGGCACCCTCAAGCTGCTGAATGGCGGTCTCGTGTGGTGAGGACAGCAGATGAGTTTTCATCTCGTCAAGGTTGTGCCTGGTGCGCTGAAGCCGCTCTTCATGCTCTGAGAACTCTTTCTGAAGGCACGTCAGTTCCTCATGGTACGCATGGTGCTGCTGCTTGGAAAATTCGTCTAAACTCGCCTGGACTTCGATCGCCCTCTCCTGATTGAGCTTGTCCTGCACCGCTTGTGTATTCGCTTCGACCTCGCTCCTATTTTTGCTTAACGAATCCTGTTTCTGGAGAAGGCTTTGCTTCTCTTTCCCTAAGGCATCCACCTCAAGGCATAGGTGGTGGGTTCCATTGTTGATAGAATCCATGTTTGCTTGGGAAGCGCGAAGAGCTTCATTGACCTCCTTCAATTCTGTCTGAAGGTCTTGCCGCTGCTTCCGTAAAGAGGCTTGCCGCACCGCATCATCCTCTCCAAAATTGACGTTGCGTGAAAGCTCTGCCATCGGCCGTCCACTATCATCTGCGCTAAAATCATTTAAAAAGCCCGGGAGGTTCGACTTGCGGGGCTCTCTAGAGGTGACTGCGTGGGAGGAAGGCCCGGTAGAAACCCCGTGTGCAGGGCCCGCAGTTGCCCCCCACAACCCCGCCTCAATGCCCCTTGAAGTATCGTTAAGATCGTCCGTGTGTAGTAAAAAAGATGGAATGGCCCCTTCAGGTTGGTGGGATGAGCGAGCCAACCCATCCACCAAAGCGGTTGATTCGCTAATCGAACGTGTCGGACCACCTCTACGCACTGGATTGTCCGCCGGGATGGGAAATTCCGGGACATCGTCCAACCCGAAGACATCGCTTTCGAAGGTGCCGGTTGGCTTTACCTGCGCACCCGAAGACTGGTCTAATCCAAAAGCCGCGGGAACGGGTGTTTTACCACTACGCCGACCAGCAACCGGTCCTTGCATCACCCTTTAAGGAGAAGTGAGCGCTAAGGTCTAAAGTGAAAAGGGTCTCAAATAAATATGACAAAGTCAAAAATAGGAATGTACACTTCCTGACCATGACAGGATTATTTTAAAAAAATGATAAAAACTGAAGATTAATGTTCTACAGCACCTCTGAAGTTAATCTTGCCGTAAATTTATTTGCATATAAAAGGGCGGAAAAAAAAAGAAGAGTTTATAATCAAAAAAAGCTCTAAGAAAGTGCATCAAAGATATTTGCAACGGTCGAAACCGTGTAAATAAATAAGCAAAATGTGGTATTATTCTACTCCTGTCACCATATCCTTAAGTGATTCTTAAACATAGGAGGATGGGAAGGGTTACAAAACTGTCCCAGCATACCAATGTTTTGTTTACATACAGTGAGTACCGCAAAAAGAAAAAGCCAATAAGCTTTATGGATATAATACATAAGCAGAAGTCAGGGGCTCGATAATAAGAAAAGACCCATATACTGCACAACCAATGTACACACTCACCTCTGTGATTGAGAATATCGAGCAATGTTAGTCCCTTATGTTTGCGTAATGAAAAGGGTTGATTTTGACACTTCTTCGATGGATAACCCCGAATGGTCTGCCAATTCACTCTTTAAGGAACTATTCTCCGTCTTCTTGTCCTCTTGAATGATCGCTTTTCGCGCTAACCGCTGCTGCTGCATCCGGATACGCTCAAAGAGAAGCTGAAGTACCCGCTCCTTGTCCGGCCAACCGAGCTCTGATATATCCACCTGCCCGATCGTCTTCCACGTGATGCCACCAGGTCTACTCGACAACCCGTTGCCCTTGACGAGGGCGCCACGCTCCGGCGACGAAGAAGAAGGCCCCTGCTGTCCGTGGGATGGCGAACTGCCCTTTAGGCTTTCCATTTTCGGCTCAAACACGCACAACTGCGAAGACTGGTCGGACGTCGAGCCCGACGCGGCGCCATGCGGGATCGGGGGAAGCGCCTCCATGCCGGTACTACTCTCGCTGGGGACGCCGATACGACGTTTTCCCTGCGAAGCCGATGTCGGGGACGGGCTACTGGTGCCGTCGTAAAATCCTTCACCGCGCTCATGAGGAGGTTGGTAAAGTGGGATTAAGGTGGGATGGGCCGCGGGGCAGCCCATAAGCTGCAGAAGCCGCTGATTTTCGATTCGCAGTGCGGAGGCATGGGTGTGTCGAGAGGAGCTCACAATCTCCTGTGAGGTGGTGGGACCGCGGCCAGAGATGCCTGGGGTGTAGTTGGCCAGGAGCTGGCGGTGCCGCTCGCAGACGATCTGCTCCCTGACCTCTCGGAGGGCGTCGTGAAAAAAGTTCTCCAACTCCCCTCGCTGGCATAACACCCGTGACGACGCCTTGCGCAGCTGGATGAGCCCCGCATTGAGCTGCAGAGCGTCGAACCTGGCATCATCTCTTTCCTTTGTTAGCGCTTTAATCTGCTTCGCGTGCTGAGTGTCCTGGCGTGCTAAACATTCTATATAATCCTTCGTGACCGTTTCCATAGAATCTTCCACCGTCTTAATCTGTTTTTTGAGTTTGTCAATTTCTTTCTTGTACTGAAGACATTTGGTCTTGAGATCCGATTCGATCGATGCGTTAACGTTCACAGCACGACGCAAGGCTATGTTCTCTTTGTCTAACGCACACTCTCGTTCGCGTGCAATCCTGACATCATTCGCGAGAAGCGTCTTCTCTCGGACTAACTCGAGGTTCTCATTGTATACCTCCTTAGTTCGAAGATCTAGAAGTTCATTTGCCTTGTATTTAAGATCCGAATTGTAGTTTTCATGCAAGCCTTTCTCGATGGTCTGTAAACGAACACGATCCTCTAACATCTCCATGCGCATATTCATTATCGTGTTACCGCTTCGCTTTATCTCTATTCGATGATTCTGCTCCAATTCCCTCATTTTTTCGTAGAAAATTGTCTTGAGCTTCTCAAATTCAATGCTCTTTGGCGTCCGCTGCAGAATATCAACCATAATCTCACACAACTGACTCACACAGACATCACGTTGACTGAGGATGTCATCGGTCTTTCGCGGGGTGGGCTGACGCCCACTCGGAGTGGTTGGTTGCACGCTCGCCGAGCCGTCGCAGGGATTCCCGGCATTCGATGATAAAAGATCGACATTGCTATTAACGTAGGTTAAGGAATCCATTTTGTTATCCGATACCAAAGGAATCAGGCTAAGAGATGGTTCCACCCTCCCATAAGCTGGCATAGGGACATATTCCGCAGGTCCATCACTTGTCTGTGGACTGCTGCGGGTCCCGTCTACAGCCATCAAATCTGATTCCCTATAGCCGCCCGTGGGGTCGGCACCCACAACAGGCTCACTGGAATACATGAAATGTCAAGGAAGGCGGAGCCCTCAACTAAAGCTAACGGGTAATCAGAGACCCTCTCTATCGCTAAAGTATTCAGAGATTTAAAAACAGAGGAAGAATTTAAGGCGCAAGGTCTAAAATGAAGAAGGGGAGGGGCAATGTTACAGTTGGCAATAGGTTGTACCGATTTGTCGCCAATATCAGCAATACTTCTTTTCAAACAACCCACAAAGCATTGTGCGGGCCTTCTGACGATTTTGATTAATTCAAATAAAGCAAGCTAGGAATGATATATATATATATATAAATGCATTCAATTTTTCCAAATATTTCAGAAAGACAAATGAGTGGATGGACGAATCCTATAATACTCTCCCACGACTAAAATTCTATCCTTCCAATGATACAAAATTAAAGTAGGTCGAAATAAACGATATATAATAGCTTCAGTTTCGAGATTACATCAATGACAAAACCCGTTAGGAAAATAAACAAGCAAGGAGTATTGTTTTTTCCTTTCCATTTAATGATAATGATGGCACATGCCAGTAAAAATATAAACATTCACTAAATAGATTATCGAAGTAGCTTGCACTGGTTACTCAGATAACAGAATATATTTCTTAGTGATAAATGCACAGATCCTATTTCAATTCTTAAGCTCTCCATTTCGATAGCGAAAATATGAATTAGCGCACAACTTTCCTTCGATATAGATAAATACGTCAATGGATCTTTTTGCCTTCCTCTTGTACAAAGCGTTGGGCTCGCTCCACGACGTCGTCACTTCTGATGTTGAACAATACTTGGTCGCTTACCTCCGATAACGAGTTGAACATGGGATTCATGGCGATACAGTCGTAATGGGCCCCAGTGTATACAACAAACCCACGCACACTGTAATTATTATCCGTTCCAAACTTCTGCACGGTCGAGGACTCCAAGTCAAGGGCGAAGATCTCCGTCTCGTACATACGACTTAGGATCTCCAACTCAATGCCCCCCCCCCATGATTCGGGCCGGCTGAGCCATCCTGCGTACGCGTAGGGATCTTCACCAAGCACCTCCTTGTTGAAAATTTCAGGATGGTTGATCACAAAGTCAACACACTTTTGACGAAGCAAAGGTCCGTCTGAACGGCTCTTGTTGTGCAGGATGTACGCACAAGCGTGAAATAAACAGGAGTTGTCCGATGGGCAAATACGACGCGTGAAATGCGCCCTTTCCTGAACTGGGGGAACATATTTTCTCCCGTCTACACCCTTATGAAGCACTCCTTCGCCTTCTTGGACAATAATAATATCGTTGTCCCGCAGCTTGAGATCTTTAACTAGAGTTTCCTCGGAAACACGAAGCGGCTTCGGGGGGAAGCCAAACAAGACTTGTATTTGGTTAACATCAACTCCGCTGACTCTCTCAAGTTCATAAAGTAAGGCAATCCAGGGTGCTTCAGCATCGACCTCCGACTCTATAGGAGCGGTACTTCTCGGTATCCGTACTCTAAGCTTAAGCATTTTAAGCTACTCTAATAGATTCTAGAGGTATAGTAGGTGGCCCTTCAGATGATGATGTGTATTTACCATGTAACCTATAATCGGCGTAAACAGATCTATTACCACAGTTCAGATGAAAACAATATAAAAAAAAAGGAGGAATAAAAATTAAAATACATCAAAGCGTTCGATATCCTTTCTTGAACACATAGCAAGGACCAATGGCGCAGTCAGGATTAAAACAGAAAGGAGTCATCCCCATTTTGCATTAGTGATCCAACTTTCTCTACCTTTTTAATGTGACTTTTCTTTACATTGCTCAAGTTATCTCTTGGATCATCTTAGACTGTACATGAAATATTCCTATGGAATAAAAACAAGATCTATGCAAACTCCCCTCTCTCTCACAGCTCTCGAAAATATTTTGTCCATCACAAAGCTGTTTCTGTCTTCGCATATAAACCCTAACCCCTTAAAAAGTAATCCCCCTATCAATCTCCTCTTCCTATTGTTTCACATCAGAATGCATTTTGAGATGGTTCATATCCGCCACATTTTCTACACCTCTGCGTATCATGTCGTACTCGGCGCACAGTTCCCTAATCGTGGCATTCTCTTCCGGGTACTGCAAAGACAAATGATCAAACTGCTTGTAAAGCGTACTTCGCTTGGTAAAAAGATCAAGCTTCTCCGCATACTGCTTTCTCTGTAGCTCATTGGCGTCCTCACGATGAGCCTTCAGGTAGAGCGCCATGTACTTCAGCACCGACTCCTCGACAGTAAGCCCGGAGTACATAGGACGCACTTCCGCAACCGCCAACATCGCACGTGCGATTCGGTCGTATAGGTACCGCTTGATGTATGTATGCCCATCCATTGTTCGCCGGAGCTCATTTTCCTTTTCCTTGGAGGCCACAAGCAAGAGGGGACATTTATGAGATGGCGGTAGTGGCACTTCCTCATCAATGTACTGCCATGGCCGTTTGAGGAATCGCTCCTTGCTGATCTCGTCCAAACAGGCGTAGCGCTTGCCGTTGTATTCCACCACGCAGGAAAGGGAGCCCAGCTTCGCGGTCCCCTCCTTCACGCCGCGGAGGCCGTAGTTATCCCGGGTGTCGTACAAGAGCACCGGACAGCAGCCCCGCAGCGCAAATTCGCCCGCCTCGTCATTGGAAATAGGATGGGTAATAGGCACGGGAAGATGCCGTGGAAGGGGGCGTTGGGTTTTCGGCTCCGCCACGACATGGGGATCCAACAAGAAGCGCTGGAGGTAGGCTTCGGTGCTAAAGAAATAATAGGCCTCCAGATACTGAGCAACCCACAGCCCTTTGCAAGACCGCGTATCAACCAGGTCGTCCTCCTCGATCCAGGAATACGGGCAGTACCACTGGTAACTCGACAGCCCCGCCTTGACCTCCTGTGTGAACTTCCACAGCTTCGACACAGAAATCGGGAAGACGAGGCGACGGCAAAGCACGGCCCTCCGCCCACGCTCCACCAGCGCCTCGACATCCATCACCAACTTCAGTAAATTGGCCGAGTCGCGCGGGTCGCGCGGGTTCGACGGGTTGACATCGCAAACATAAAGAAACTGCTCGTCCAGTCGCTGCCGAAGGGAGGTGTAGAAAGGAGGAAATTGGACGCCGTGGGGGTCGGGCCCGGGGGCGTCGACCACGCACACGGCCCGAGCAATCAGCGTTGGGATGGGGTGGCGCACCAGACGGTCCATATCGCTCGTGGCTCGAGGCCAGTCCGATAGGATCGCCCCTTTCCATTTCACATCCGCCCCGCCAAGACGAAGCGAAAACAATCGCTCAACCGTGGTGACATCGGTTTGGCCGGAAAAGGCGGCACGGATGGCTTGCGCGGAAAGCGACCCAAGTCGTGGATGCACGGCAGCCCACGTGAGCAACTTCGGGACCGAAATGAAAACGGCGTTTAGGTTGTAGGCAACGGATTCCGCCAGAGACCTCTTTTTGACGCCGTTATTGGGCGTATCCTGCTGGCTTGGGAAGATATCGCCCCCGAAGATCGCGACCGCCGGCATCGAGTGTAGCTTGGGCGGAGGCGGTGGCTGGGAAACGTAGAGAATGGGATTTCGCAGAAACTTCCTCAATGTACTACACCTCTTGAAGTAGTACATACGACTCGCAAACAGAACGGAGTGTGGCGACATTAACCGATTCCACTGCGTCTGTTTGAGCTCGGCGAGGCTGCGCATCTGCTCCAGCTCCCCCGAACTGTATTCGGACATTTCCTCCTCGACATCATCCATTTCGTCCGGGGTCATGGGCCGTCCTTCGTTGCTCAGATCATCCTCTGCCGCGCTTGCCGTCATCTCGCTTGAGGCTTCGGGCACGCTCCACCTACAGCTCCCCGGTGGTTTGAATCGACAGGGTTGGTAAACGCCCATGCGCCTCTCGAAGAGCTCAACGGGGTCCATCGATTCAAAGCAGGACTCCGCGGCCCGCCCGGTTCGCAGCAAATCCTGCGAAAACTCATAGTGAACGACCTGTGGAGAGCAAAAGAAGGAGCTTCGGTTCGAGAGGTGGCGCTGGAGCAGTTCTTTGGCGGTGCGAAACACGGTTTCGGGACCCGCACCGCCCGGGATACGCACCACATCCACCAAACGTTCCTCGAGGATCTCCAAAAACTCCCCAACCGCCTCGACTTCCTCGCTAAACGGAGACCAGGCGGGGTCGCTTTTGGAGGCCCCACCTTGCAGGTCTCCGGATCTCGGTTGAGACTCTCTCAGAGCCCCATCCACCTCAGGTGAGCTTCGATCAGCATCATCCGGATCGTCGTTGGCGCCGATGTGGCGGCGGAGCCATAACCGCAATTGTTTTTTCCTCTTCTTTTGTTCGAGCTCCTCCTCACGTTGTCTAGAATCCGCCTCCATTTGAAGGGCCTGAGCCTCGCTAAGGTGCAATACAGACTCCTGCCGGCGTTGCTCCATCACCTTTCCCGCGCGCTGCGAATGCATATCCTCCGGTACATCCAGATAGACAACCGCCTCGGGGATGCAGTTCTCCTCAAAGAGAATATCGATCCCAACATCCGGAAAAGGTGAACAAACCATCACGTAGCCCTGCGATTCAAACGGCTCCATACGAGTGACGCAGGCAAGAAGGCTTAGGTGGGCCTTGTTCAGGCGCTCCTCCTTCACCTCCTCATCCTCCGGCTCGAATTCCAGGAAGCCCTGGAGCTCGGCCTCCCGCTCCGCCGCCTCCTCCTCGTCCTCGATCTCATCCGCGCGTTCGGCCATCATTTCGAGCTCCTTTTCGGCCTCGAGGCGGAGTTTGAGGCGCCGCTCGTGGTCGGCCGCAAAGTCTCGGAGCTCTTGGAGAATCTTGGTTCCGCGAGCGGCTGCGGTGAAATTCTGGGATAAGTCGGCCTCCGGGATAAAAATATCGTCGACCTTGGCACCGCCAGGGGTGCCTGCGGCCTCGATACAACGCTCGAGAAAAGCGATATTATACCTGAAAAAGGGAATACCAAACTCGCGCTGAATCCCGGCGCTCAACGTCTGCCTGCCAGAAAACGTCGCGCCCACCATCCAGAATCGAGGGGGAGTATTCTGTGGAGGGACGTCACTAACAAACCGAAGTGGATTTTGCTGAAATTGGTTCAAGCACTCCTCAGTAGCAAAGCAATACAATTCATCAAGAAAGGAAAGGCAAAAATCATTTTTACCTCGTACAAGAAGACGCTTTGTGTACAAGGTCACGGGGCAATACTGTAGGCGCGAGCCGAACTGATGAAGAAAGCGACGGTGAGGCTTTAGAAGGGGCTCTATCTTATTGGCCGTGGTTAGAAGGGTCTTCAGCTCTTTGTTATCCTCTTCCTCCTCTTCATCTTCCTCATTCAGAAACTCCTCCTCTTCATCCTCCTCTTCCGCACCGAGGTTCTCATCGACAACACCGGGAGCCACATGAACTGCAGCGGGGCTGACGCGTTGACAAATATTCCAAAGCAACTCCTGCTCAGTCATACCCAGCATGTCGATCTCATGTATTTGAATGGACTCTGGGTAATTATAGTCCTCCTTGGCTTGGTACTCCTTGATTTTTTCGGCAACTTTATCACAAGACAACGAACTCAATGTCCGAGAAACCGTTTTATCCAAGGTTTCATCGAGATTGGTCCCATCCTCATTATCTGGATCGGACGTTGTGGGAAGTGATCCGTACCGAAGCACCAGCACGTTTTTGGGAATTGCGTTCTCCTTGAGCAACATCTCCAACTCCTCAAGATTGTGATCCTGTGAATTCAGTGCTGTCATGAGAACAGGTAGATCGTTCTTCTGTTTTTCTTGGATTTTTTTTATTTCCTGGCCTAGTACATCCGCAATGCTTTCCGGCTGCTGTGTTACCATAAAGGTAACCTTGGAGGGTGACTCCTGATCCGACGGAAGGGAAACACCTTTTTTCGTACTCGGTCGCTTCGCTATATTGGGTTTTCTGGCGCTTGAAGGTTGCTTCCGCTTTGCTTCGAGACGGAGGCGCTTTTCCATCCGAGTCGAACGCTGTTGCCGCTCCTCTCTATCAAAAACAGAGCGACTCGAAGAAATGGTCTTTCTCTTATCACGAAGCTCCCGGTACTGGCTGTGAGCCGAAGCATAGTCCGATAGCGGGATCACGATGAGCTGCAGGGAGTGAGCAAGCCGTTTGACCAAGGAATATAGTTCCACGCCAGCCTCGTTATTTTCACGCCTTTCCGACAACCTCTCATTATCCGCTACGAGAACGATGGCTTCCCGACTTTCCGGCGTGCGCCGAAGGTAAAAAAGCGGGTTTCGCATGAACTTTTCAAGCTTGTCACGTGAGGTCGTTATGTACAAATATGAGCGGAGCGTGCAGCTGAAAGCCGGTGAGCCCTCTATAAGCACGTGGTCCTCCTCAAAGGTGACTGGACAAAAGCGCTTCCATGTGGGAGAGTACTGGAAGCCATTGGCCAAGGCGGTTTCTTCCTTAAGCTGCGCAATAGCCTTTTCATCTTCTAAGGTATCCACCGGGGCCTCGTTGAGCGCATCACCCATTTCCACCTCATTGATTAACAGGGTGGGCTTTAAGTCCAGACTCTGGATCACGTATGTGAGGATATCCTCAACGCTCGATGTCGCGTCAACGGTGAGAATCGCATCGCGAAGAGCAGCACGCTCAACCGCAAGATTCAGAACCGGAAGGCTCGTGAATAATGAGGGTTTATCACCTGGTTTTATCTTGTCCGGGCCGTGAAGAGATGCACGGCCGCTTTCAATAAGCCGACCAAGCATCATGTGGAAATACTGAGCATCCTCATCATCCTCCCTATCGGGTTCGTCACCTGATAACTGTTGCTCCTCCAGAGTGCGGCTGTCGTTTTTGTCCTGCTCATTGTTCGCCAAATGGGTAAGTATTTCCTCTGCTTCGGCTGCTTTCTCACGGGCTTTCTCCAGTTCCTCTTCAGGAACATCCTTGTCATTTTGAAGTTGCGTAAAATGCTCCAAAGTCTCCCTGTGGGAGGCTATCATCGCCGCCTTTTCCTCTTCTTGACGAAGCCTCTCCTGCTTTGCGGTGTAGCGCGCCAGCAGTGCCTCCTCAACAGAACGCTGCGATGCGGCGGTGGTCTTCTGCACCTCCTGAATCCATTCCTCATCGGAAGAGGACATCTCCAGAAAGACACTCGGAATTGCGACTCGCGTTAGACCGCAGTCCTCAAGGAACTGAGTCACCGTGCTCATATTGCTTGCGCTCAACGAAAGCGAGTCACTGAAGACGTAACCTTCATAGGAGCTCCGTTTGCCTACCTCGCGACGAATCAGCGCCGCTTGAAGTGAGAGAGGAATCGAGGTGGAGTTCCTTACCAACTCCACTAGCTGTTGGCCCAATTCATCCCCGTTCAACGCGTCTGCGGTTGCCGCTGTAGCGAGTTCCAGCACATCTAAGTGGGCCGCATGAAGTTTCGCGGCAAGCGCTTTCCCAACCATTGTTTTGCCCATGGTACGGGGACCGTGAATTAGAATTCGATTTTCAGTGGGACGACTGTTATAGAAAGCGCTTTCCTGGCGCCAGTGCCGTAGGTCCTCAGGCATGTAGAGTAATGTAGGATCCTCAAACCGCCGACGGGGCTGCTCAGTTTGCACCTCTTCGGGGCTAATTGCGGTCAAGGGGTTTTGACCATCTTTCCCCCCAGTCTTGAGGTGTGCGTGTGTAATAGACAATAACTTCTCAAGATAGCTCGCCGTGTTCAATTGCTGTGCGTAGCGCCTGCAAAGAAAGATACAGGCCGCCTTAAAACTCTCAATATCCATCTCACCCTTCGCATTAAGAAATTCCAGCCAGATATTTCGAGCTGCCATTTCTGAGCGCTGAGCCGACACATTTGAAAAATGTAGGTGGATAAACCATGCAAAAAACACATTGAACTGACTTGACGTGAGCGCATCTAGCTGTTCGGAGGTCAACGATGTCGTTTTATCACTGCTGGCTGACCGAATGCATCCCAAAAGGGTGCAAAATATTTCCTTGTGCAGAGGCGACTTGTTGAGCGTCATGAAGGAGCCCACAGGAGTCGCAAGCACCTTTGGACTGCACACAGAAGGGCTGATTAACAAGGTTTTGTAAGGATCATCTATAATCGCTATCGGTGGCTCATCAGTTGTGATGCAATCCACAAGTTCTAGGTTGAGCCGCACGAGTACGTCATCGATAGCAAAGGCCACGTGAGAAAGCCACAAACTCGGAATAAAGTCTAAGAAGTTGTAGAGGTCTTTTTTGTAGTAGAACTCCTGCTGCGTTATCGGCGACCCACGGAACACTGAGAGGACCGCCTGATCCACATCCTCAGGGGTCGGGTTCCCATGGATTGCCATGTAAAGGCAGCGAACGATATGCTGCATCGTCTCCAAAGGAAAGGCTAATTCATTGATGACATCAGACGTTGGTGAATTCGTCGGAGGTTTGACCCCCTCTTCGTCTTTTTCTTCATCGACTTCGGTCTGAAGGGCCTGCGCAATGCAGGGAATGGCCCGCCACAGACGCTCCCTCGCTTCATCTAAGGTCAACTTGAACTCCTCCTTTATTGGGGTGGTCTTTTTTTTGCCTCCCTTCTTCATGGGTTTAATGGTATTGGTGATAAAGGAATTAGACTACTCTTGTTCTGGGGTTCCTTGCTTTCCAATATATATATATAAAGAAAGACTAACCGAATATGAATATAGAAATATACAACATTAATAATTTTGATAGAATATAGTACACCAAAAGAAGACCTTCACGTTTCCTAGATAACACAATGGCTGTGTTGGCCTCCTCTCTGGAAAAAATTAATCGGATAGTAATAATAATCATAAAGATCGCAATAATAATAGAAATAAAAATAAAGTACCAACGAGAGTAAAAAATTCCACGCATACACCGAAAACAGAAAAAAAAATCACCCCTTGGAAATTCACGATATAGAACCAAAGCAAGGCGAGCAAAAAAAATACAAAAAAAATAACATGAGTGAATCCACATTTAAATAGTGGATTCACTGACATTTTCCACCCTAGTAATTATCTTGGTGAGCCAGCGTCAGCACGTAATTCGACGGAACACGGTAAATTAACCATCTATTCCAAAAACAACACTAGTTTACAGTCGGCACCTAATAATAGCAGGTTCTTCTCCAGGTCCTTAGCATCTAAATTTAACTGAAGCAACATTTTTTCTCGATCAGTTATTGCTTCTGAAGCTCCTGGAAGAGACAACTTTGAGGATGAAACCGGTATAAAGGTGGGAGAAGGCGAATCACGAGGGTAGCCTGATAAATTGTTCGTGCTACCTGAAGACACACTAGCCCCATCCTTTCGTCGCCGGAGTTTCTCCCAGCTTTCTTCGGTTTTCTTTGCCGTGATGAGGGTATCGCGGGCGATGGCGGTGAATTGGTGCACCACACGCTCCGCAATGATTTGAAGCATGTACTTGGTGACATCATCAGGAAGGTCGTTTGCCCGTGCCGTTGTGGTGAACCGCACAATAGGGTCGATAATGCTCGCGACATACCATGATGAAGAGGTAGGGGAAGGTTTTTTCGTGTGAAAGTAGGCAGAGCGCACGGCTTTGATGTTTTGTAGGCCAGACATACATTCTCCTAGAACCTTTTCAATTATCCATGTTTGAGCGACTTCTATAAACGCCTTGCAGGTGGAATCTCGTATATTATGAAGGAGATTTGTCAACAAAAGGATGCGCGAAGATGACCCTTGACAATGATCTTTCAGTTGCTCAAGAAGGGAATTCTCCAGAAGGTTGACAACGTGGGAGGCCCCGGTGATAGCCGCAAAGAAAAGAGACGTATCATTCATTGTGTGAGATTGCTCTTGCATCGTACCTGCTTCAGATGATGGTGCTACTACGGAAGGCAAGGTCATGTATTTTTGTACATCTTGAAAAACTAGTTTACAGCTCACATCGACTTTTCGGATAAACTTTGGAATGCACAAAGTGAGGAGTACATCTTCCGAAAAAAGCCACTGTATCTGATCGAAAAGTACTTGAAGGACATTCTGTATGGCTACTTTCATTTCTTTGGCCTTCTCAAGGTCTTTCAAAGCGGCACCGATTGCTTTATCCACTTCGGTGATGCGCAAAACGGCATAAATGTCGGTATTCCACTTGCGATTCCACAACGCAACCTCAGGCGACTGCCGAAGTGCGGCGAGCTCTTTTCCTGAAGTGCATGCGTGTTCGGCCAAAGACAGAAGTTGATAAGCCGCTGTATACCGCTTATGAAAGGATTCAGCTATCCCAATATCGCAAAGTGTGACCAGTTTTTCAAGAAGCAACTTGCACACGGCTGGCCACATAATCTTGGAAACCAAGAAAAGAGTCGTGCCAACAAAGCTCCGACGCATCAACAGGAAAAGAGGAATAATAGTATCCCGCAGCTCTTTCTCCAAGCGCTGAAGTAATCGCACCATTTCATCCGCGCTTTGCCGTGCCTGAGCTGCCGCCTTCCAGGACAAGACGCTCTCTAGGTGAGGGTACAGAATGGCATTGGCGAACATATCACAGAACTCCTCCTGCGCACCGATCACATTGTACAACCCTATGACATCCTGCAGGTACTGGGTGTCCCGTGGTTTGGGGGATTCGATAAAGCGATAGGACAAAAACTTGACGGTGCACTTTAGTGCCGCCAACACAAACGATCGACTCTCTCGGGCATACTCACAAACTTCAGCCCGCTCCTCTTGCTTGGATGGAAGAACAGGGATCAGCGACACGAGCACATTGAGCTGGTGCATGACGGTGGCCACCTCCTCAAGACGCTGTATGACATGCGGGGCGAGGCTTGGGTGAGACCCATCAAGCCTCTCGCGGCCTGTCCGTGGCGCCCCTCGGCTTCCCGTCGTGGGTTCCTCCGCGGTCCCTAAAAAGCGATCGGTCGAGCCAAAAGCCCCGTTGTCCATCCCGCAAACCTCGGCTATGTCCTGCATTAGTTCCTCCATGAGATCGACAATTTTTTCGTAAGAGAGCATTGCCCTAAGAAACATTATGTCGAAAATACGCTCTTCCTCCGCGGTTGTTGCTCGCTCGAGCTTCTCCTGTACAGATTGGGTGACCGAAAGAAGTCGCTCGGTTGCTCCATTGAGCCGTTTGATCGAAGTTTCAAGCGGTAGCTTTGCACGCTGAAGATCCTCCTGCATGCCAACCAAGTGCCCCGACACACTCAAAAACGCATTGCGCATACCAGTGTTGACGTAGTGTGAGACTTTGTCTCGAATATGGTCCTCAAAAAAAGTCAAATCTTTGCATAGATTCTCTAATGGCACGCCTTGACTGATCTTATTCCTCACAAAAGCTAAAGGATCGAAATCGGCGGCGTATTCAGGATCGGTTTCGATGTATTCACTCAACTCATCAACCCCATCGCTAGCATTTTCAGGTGTATTCAAGCTAATGCCAAACTCATGATCATAAAAGCAGAGTTTCATAAGTTGAAGCTGCTCATTAAGGAGTGATGTATTCTCAACTATCTCTTCCTTTGGTGAATTCAGACCATCGCCTTGTACCAAATTACTCATCTTTATTTTCTATTAATCTATCGTATCTGTAGAATGAGGATCGAGAGAAAAAGACAGTATACAGGAAGTTAATGCGTCATTTAACTCTCTACATTCACTGATGCGTGTTCGTGGGTGATATAGAAAAGGCAAAGTAGGGCCATGCATGTATAAATTTATCATGCAAAAATCGGACCGTGTGATCATATTAAAGCTTTTGATCATTCGAAGCTACGCAAGTGCACTTTGTTTCTTAATTTTCCTTTAGTGACCTTCCCTAGGAATGAGTATGGTTGGTCACTGCTTGAGATGCGGCTTTAATCTTTTCCATATGTCTTCGCTTTGCTTCACCACTCGCAACGTCACGCTCAAAGGCTTCACGATCAGCTTGGTTGTGCATCTCCCTCAGCCATGTTAAATTTCCGCGCGTATTTTCAACATCGCGAGGCTCATACACGGCATTACCGAACTGCCAATCCAAGTGATGCATGCGTCTCCACTCCCGCACTACAGCATCCATGTTATCGGTTGGCAGCGCATGCGTGAAGCCTAACTCAGGCTGCAACGGGTGGTTGCGCATGATAGCGCGGGCGGCCTCGGTGATACGACTGTTCGGTACTTCGCGTGCGGTCGTGATGTGCGTTAGAACGAAATCCACGACGTTGGCGACGCTTCGAAGCTCCTTGCGGTCGTCGGAAGTGGGGGAAAGGCGAAAAATGCCCTCCACTACCTGATCAAGAACGCGTTCACGCAGCGAGTCTTCCTCAAAGACAAAATTTTCAATAATGCGGCGCTCAGGTAAGTCGGTGAGGGGGTTGCCTTCGAAATCGAGCCGACGCAGCTCATACCCGTCGCGTTGCGCCTCAACAAAAATGACTTCAGTCAGTTTGTCCACCAGGTACGACTTTATCTCATCGTCATTCATGCTGAGGACAACTTTGGTGAATTCCTCATCCCAGGCCGGCGGTCGAATTCCCTTCGGTTTGGGCGGGATGTAGGAGCCTGGCGGCACGTTGGGAAGCCACGGTTGCTGCGTGTACCACCACTTCCACGCGAACGACGACGTACCGCGGGATACGCCGACGCCTTCGGGGTTGAAGCGTTCAATGGTGGGCTGCGGGCGATGCGAGTGGGACTGGTCCCACTTACTAATACCCTGTGCCTCGCGCTGCCAACGGTTCATCTCCTTGTATTTGTGCATGTGCGGTCGCGGCTTTCGCAGGACATTTTTGTTTGTGGACCGAAACCAAATTTGTGTGTGATGAAAACCCATTTGCGCTAGCACGGCGTACTCCCTAGAAAATACCCTATGGATAACGGAAAAAGTCAAAAACACCCCGCGGTGGAAAAAAAAGAAAAATAATAGCAACATCAACCCATTAAGAGCTCAATTCAGACGCTGAATTTATGGGGTAAGTGGTTGAGGGTTTAAGATAATTTTATGTGGGCACACATGCAGATCAACTTATCCATTAAAGCAATTCAGAACCTGAAAAGGCACATTGGTAGAAGGTATATAAGCTTATTAAAATATCCCTCCATTATTCCTCAAAAGACAATTAGAGAAATATTTGTTCTGTTTTTAATACTAAAAAATGGATCTATCAGGTAAATAAATAAATAAATATATATATATATATATATATATATATATACATGGGGAAAAAATTATTCTTGTGCAAAGTATACACAAAAATAGCTAAATTTCCCTCACGCAGTTTTTTCATGATGTTCCTCTTTTAATAAAAAAAAAGATCAAACTTTAGTTACTGTCAGATATCCTTACGTTTAATTATCCTACCATTATTGGCATATATATGTACCACTCGCTACTTTTCGACATCCTACTCTAGACCAGGAAATAATTGCATAATTTGCTCATAAAAAGGCTTGAACTTACTAATGTTGCCCTTCTCTGCCGTCCATGCGGAGATTGCCTCATCAGTGATAAAACCTGCCGATACAAGCTCCATTACAAAATCAGGAGCAATGTCCTGCATGAAAGTCCTTTGCTTTACCCCCGCAATACAGTCTAGAATACGAATGGGATTCTTCAGCTCGACATCATTCTCGCGCTCCAGGCTCCACGCTGAGACTAAGTTAGACCAAACCTCGATGAAGTCCTCCTCCCACTCCTCATCAGCACTCTTGAGAGATGGAAAAAGTACGTCAAGGTAGTTCGCAGTGCGTGCCATGATTTCTCGCAGAACCACAAGGAAGTCTAGAGACGGCGTCGCCAATATGGCTGCGATGAAACGGGAAAAGACGCGTGGAACATCTTCCTTGGCGTTTTTTACAATCGCATCAGCGAGGAACCACGAATAGCCCCTGGACACCACAGGTGTAAAGAGGTTATTTTGGAGTGACTCGAAAAAAAGGTTGCGGTCATCCTCACTGCTGCTGAGTGTGACCTTTTTCGTAATCACAAATACGGCGCACGTGATCCCCATGAGATTGCCTTCATTAGGCATGAGTTCCCGGAGCGTATCCTCTGCATATGACCAGTCCCCGCTGATGATAGCATCTCGTATGATGCTACAGATCTGCATCTCGACCTCGGGGGTGAGGCTCTTTGGTGGTTGCGCAAATAAGAAAAGCTTCTTGTCCTCCTCGCTCATTGACATTCCGTCCGATTCCGGCAATGTCTCGACACCCGGTGGAGGCAGCCATGATTGATAGAAAGGGGCGCCATTCGCGCCATCCGCGAACTGCCCGAGGTCGGTGTAGCTGTTTCCGCGCTCTTGCCCTCTCGCCTGTTGAAAGTGTTGGTGTGGTGGCGATTGGTGGTGGTGGTGGGGATGGTGGTGATGGGAGGGGTGGTCTTGGTAGTTATTTATGCTCACTACCCGATGCATCGATTTGATGTGTTGGTTCTCGCCGTGCGCATTAAGGTTGTTGGCTCCCGACTGGGTGTCGGTATTAGCACTGGATGAGACCAGGGGTGCGACATCCTTTGGCTTCCACCCCGACCTCCGCCAGTCTAAGATGTTTTGCACCAAAAAGCGAATACGCTTCGGGAAGCCGGTGTCATCGGCGTACTTTTGGAAAGCCCTCCAAACCGCATCGGCGCACGTGTTTTTCGGCATTTCGTCAAACTTCTTTCCTATGACATAGAAAAGATTGTATGCTATTTCTAAGTCCACATCGGACACGTTTGTTTTCGTGACTCCAGGTTCAATACCCAGGGCTAATGCATAAGACGCGATGCTTACGATGACGCGCGTGGTCATAAGCGACTTTACATAAAGTTCGCCAATAAATTTGATGTTAGCCATGTTTTGCTTCCGAAGTTGCTCCGCCGTCTCGGGGTCTTTGGGGGAAACCTGATTCCTGAACTCATCGTAAATCTTTTGACAGTGGGATACCAAAACAAAGCGCACGAAGTCACCCACTGGTGGCATGTATGAATCCCTCATGAGTTGCTTCTGAGCAGACATCAACCTCTCGAGAATACGCGGGTCATTTTTGCTCTCATTAACTAGCTCCCGCTCATAGTTAGCAATGCGCGCACAAAGACGTGCATAGAGCGCCGAAAAGACCGGCTCTGAGACGGCCTTGTTAAAAACAATCTTCACAACACCAGGAAGCACGGCTGCATTACAAATAAGATCATGTGAAAGCATCTCTTGGCCAACCACATCGAAGTTCTGCTCCGTCAGCTTATTGAGCGCACTCTGGACCCGGCGCAGCTCAAGCTCAGACTCATCCATCTCAGTCTTATCTCGCACACGAAACCCGTTGTCAGACATCACCAACTTCAGTACCTCGGACTTCTTTTGTTTTTCGATCCTTGCAGAGGAAAGCAATCGCTCAACTGAAAAGCCCTCGTACGGTGCATTAGTCCATGTATCGCGATACGTAAGAATCTGTGCTATCGACATTTGATTTTGGAGGCGCTCGTCTTTCGGAGGAGCAGGACCACGTACTTTGAAAAGCATGACTTTATGTATTTGTTGAAAGTCTGTGTAATTCTGATTATAGATATTTAGATATAGATATATATCGCTTAAAGTATCTATTAGTGAGACTGGATGAGTACAATTCTACAAAAAAATCCTACTATAAAGTAATAATAAGCTTCTCAAATGTGTTCGCAAAGGAAGTAAATACGTCTATAAACTCCCTAATATATCTATTCTCACTCCCAACAAACAATAAGAGCAAAAGAGAAATTTTGAGCATAATATTACAGGTCTTGGATACATCAACTATCCAATCATCCATGAGAATCGGTGTGGTGAAATAAGCCTGATACGCAAATTTTTCTAGCATTGTGTTATAGCAGGGATAGAGTATTCCATATATTGAGAAAAAATGTGTGCACATATTCAACCCACGTTTTTTTCACTTGGGGCTACGAGTAAAATAAGTTTCTCTAGAGCTTTCATAGCCATACGCGAAGCCATCCGACACTGCAGTGCCACCTCTAATTGGCTCTCCAGCACATCAACGAAATCATAAGCGCATGTGAGCGCCTCATGGTAGTGGAAGAGGTCCACTCGTTGCTGCCGCGACGGCAGCGTAGCGGCTGCGTTGGGGCAAAGGGAGCGGTGCCCAGTCTGCCACCCTCCTTTGGCCGCACCCTGCTCCAGCAGAAACCTCCCGCAGCTCGGACTATCAGAAGCCCCTTTGGGGGCTAAAGGCGGTACCCCCTCGGAAACCTGGAGCTCGTCGATTTCGTCCTGTAGCTGTCTAAAGAGATAGGATGCCAGAGGGTTCGTGCATTGTGCCAAATGCGGCGCATCTTGGTTTTCTTTAGACTGAGTGAAACCTGTAGACGTTTTTTTGTTTTAATTAGTTCGATTCCTGAAAACCTCCCTTAGTCTGTTTCGTGAAAAAGATACGGTATAGTGCAAAGATATAGGAGTCATACTGTAGTAGAATCATCCAAAACGTTGAAAAGGGGAAAATGAATTGAATTGATTGGGGAAAGTCAATAAAAAACTAAGATGTTTAGAATAAAAGGAACTTCGTGCCCCAATATCTTCATTTAAAAGGGAGTAATAAAGTATGAGCAAGTACCCCTTAAACTATATGAAAGGGTGCATCTTTCTGGAAGTAAGCAAACAAGCAAATACCAAAAATGGATGACAAACAAATACCCATCTCAATCAGATCATAAGGAACATAACATGTCCTATGATAACATTAGTGTTGGTTATACATATTCTTCCTCGTGAAATTGAATCAATCTAAGACCAGATTGACCACACGCACAAAATAAACGTGTTGATTGATATAAAATGATATATTCTTGAGTATGTGTATATAAGGAAAAATGGATAAAACCACAAACAATGAATAGACAGTGTTATGGCCTATTACTTTTACGATATGAACATAAATATTAGCGTTTCTTTCTATTCAGAAGATAGCTCCAATACCTGTTGAAATGATCGAAATTTGATATAGCGTGTTGTATTTTGCTTTCAACTCCGTGTTTGGTTATACCCCTCTCTACGTCATCTGACTTCTGTCGACAATTTCCCAGTATTCATTCCCGTATTTGTTCAACTCCGACGTCTTAAACTTAACACGATGCGCGCGATACAAAAGCTCACCGCAATCCTTACAATTTTGTAATGACTTCAGAGATGGCAACAGTTTCTCAAAGGGCAGTGAGAGGAGTCGCTTTTCTTCCCACTTCATCAAGGCGATACTGGTTCGAAACACAATCTTCCAGCCTTCACTAAAGAAGATGTCCCAGATACGAAGCAGGGCATGGAAAGGGAAGTGATAAACAAAGAGAGTCATAAACCACTGTGATGCGTAAAAAGATGGGTCCACGCCGAGCTGCTCAAATCGTTCGTGTAACTTGGGAAGCAAACGAGCAAGAAGCCTCTTCAGCTGATAGAAGAACTGCTTTAGCATGGGAAACCCAGGCCTAAAAAGTTCACGCATCCGGTATCGCTCGTGGTGCATCATCTCATGGAGAGCCCAGAAAGACCTCTCTTCATCCATCTGCGTGGCTAGTGCACCCACAAGAAAGGCCATCCCTTGAGTGTAGCCCACCTCTGGATCACACGCTGCATAGGCATGGAGGACATTCCGCAGAAACATCTGCCCAGCACCGCCTTCCTCTTGAAACAAGATATTGTTGGGAAAAGTCCGCGCGAGGTCGCGCTCGATGCAGAGGTCCACCTCCTTGTCTTTAAGCGTTTTGTTGCACAACATAGTGTAAACCCCAGAGTTCTCAGGAGATTTCAGAATCGCGTGCGATCCTATTAAAAGTTGCCATGAAACCCCACGCAACTTCGTCGGAATTCCCTTACGACAGCGTTCCTTGAGTTTGTTGCGCATATTGTTGTAGGTGTAATCCCAATCCGCTGTCATGCTAACCCACTTATTCTCCAGCCCAATCGTCTTGGTCCCATCGTTTTTTTTCCGGTAAAGCTGATCCATCAGCCGTGCCTCCTCGCCAAGTAAGAACCCGAACTCGTCCACGAAGGGCTGGTTGGGCTCGGAGGCGGTGGTATCCCCCGTGTGTTGACTGAAAATTCGATTGTGAACCGTCTGCCGTTTGGCTCCGCTCGCGACGCCGGGGTAGTCCAGCTGCGGAGAGCTCGGCCCGGAGACGACGCTGGTCTCCGTATCGGAATCGCTCCTGCCGGTGGGGGCCACCCCAAACGGGCCATGGTGAGCTTTTTCACTGCCCTCCAACGCGGGTGCGCCGTAGATGAGGTCGTGGGAGAGCACCGCAGAAGGCCCGGGGGACTGCCCAAACGGACTCCGTCCTTGGACAGGTTGAACGCTGGATAGAGGAGGAAGGGGGGGCCCCTCGACGTTCACGCAAGATGGCCGATGCGTCCCTGCCCGCCCTCCTTCCGCTGAGACGCCGAAAAGAGCCTCACGCGCGGGTTGAGGACCAGCATCCCCGGAGCTATAAAAGCACCGCGAACTAATGGAAGACTGCAGCGAAGTGGGGAAGGATCGGAAGTTATGCGAGTTGACGTTACTCAGAGAAGTCCTCTCCTCTTCGTCCACATCTTTGAATATGCTACTTTCATCCATGATGAACAAAAAGCAATAGGGGGTGGTAAAAAATCGGTCTAGGTTTTTGAGTTGATAATAAGTGAGCGTGTATCCTTTTTAGGATGAAGAAAAGAACATGAATTAGAGGGCGTAAACAAACGCGCAAAAAAAAGGCTATTTAAAGAAATGGGAAGAATAAAAGAATGGACCAAAATGACGTTGAATATTAATATGAAGCTAAGGTAATGGCTCCAATCTGAGTCTGACCGAAGAGTCAAGCACAAGTTTGCTTTTAAAATTTGATGTAGACGTTTACAGTGGTGAGAATATACAATTCCAAATACACAGTTTCGTTGTTGTTGGATTCCTACATTCGCACGAAAGTAACCAGTGGAGTTTTCATTTCCCACGACGCATCGACCCTCTTACCATTATATAGCTTAAGTAAACTTAGCCTCTGTTGGGGCGAGAGTGGTCATTGCATTGTAGCCAAACATTTACCGTAGTAAAGGAGAAAGCAAATCAAAAGAAACGCCTCTGTAGTGCTTTTCCATCCTCATCTTTAATAGCAGAAAAAAAAACGACGCATAATGTACCACCAACATGAAAAAAAAAAGCGAGTCACGTAAGCTGTGGCGTGATCCTGTCTTTTGCAAGAAAATGACAGCCCAGTGCTTGATCGTTCTTTGAAAAGGCACTTCAAACCTCAGAGGATGGATTTCACTTTTCCTCAACTAACCCATATTCAGTAAGTGGTTTGCCCTAAGGAATGAACTAAACGCCAGAAAAAGTTTTCACTTGTGAAAAATAAATGGCATATCATTTGAAACTCAAATCGCACCAACGTAGGATGATGCGAACGCGGGCCCATAACGATATAAAGCTTTACAAAAGATCCCATTAAACAGATCCTACTCTTGGTACTACGTTAATGATCTCAACCCTCGCCTAAACAGTTGTGCCCTTTTTAAAAGGATGGAATTCCCTTCTGGTCCCCATGATTGAGAGTCCCATGAGTGTTGGATATATAGAACTAACGAAGGAAATGTATCGCATTCTGTTTTACCTAATCGACATTAATCCTCATGAAAATCTGCACCGCACTACGTATTCCAAGGAAAGTGAAAAAAGAAATGAAGTTCATTACTACACAAACAGAACAAACAAAGTAACATAATCAAAACATATTTTGGTAGGTGAGAAAAGAATAGCTGATTTTATTATAATAATAGATAAACATGCAGCAACGAAATGATAAATCCTGAAGCAATATCCAAGGTATCGTATGAAGTGGGGAAATTCTGTATAAGACAACATGTAAGTTCAAAGTGGTGTATCATTGCACTTTTTTTTCCTATCGTGGATATTAAAAGAAAAAGAAAGCTAAGACACAAAAGAATACGAGAGGCGACGGAAACCCTAACTTAAGTAACAAAAAAAATCAAGAAAAATAACGAATTATACACATGAGCCATGCTTTTCTCTCCTGACTCCATTCATTTTACGTATTTTTATGCCCGCTACAGCGAGTGGTGATGATAGCACAAGTAATAGAAATCGGTATTTACCGATTCTGAAATTTTTTAATGTATTTGTGAACTTTCTTCGTTCGAAATTTAACCGAAAGGGCGTTCTTAAGTAGCTCATCCGGATCTTTTCCCTCCTGAATAGTACTGAGTACCATAAGCATGTCAGAATCGGAGTGTTGTGCTAGTAATTGCTCCTTTTCCATCGACAGCAAAGCAAGCGCAATACGATAGATTGGTTTCCAACCTTCGCACAAGAACATATCCCAAATTCTTGAAATCAATCTGAAATTGAATTGATAAGTGAAAATTGACAGGAACCAGTGAGTGGCGAAGTGGACTCCCTCGATATTGAGCTCCTTCATGCGTTTGTACACCTTTTTGTTTTGTAGTTTTAGAAGCTTACACAATACATAAAAACAGCAGTGTAGCTGTGGAAACCCTGGTTCGTAAAGGCTCTTCATCTGATAAAGTTGGTTATCCATCAAAGCACAAAAAGCCCAAAATGTGCTCTCTTCATCAGATATTTGCAATAACAGAGTGGCCACAAGAAAATTCATTCCCTGACAGTACCCAACTTGAGTGTTATAATTTGCATAGGCGTGGAGGATGTTGCGGAGTATATCCCTTCCATTATTCTTCGTACCGTCCTCAAACATAATTTGAGTCGGAAAGGTTCGACCTAGGTCCCGTTCAATGACATCTGAAATATTATTTGCTAATGGTTTAGACTTTAACCTAATATAAACACCCCATTTCCCTGGGGTGTTCTGGATGTTGAAGGTGCCGAGAAGAAGCTGCCATACCTTGCCCCGGATGTCTTGCGGACTGCCCATTCGACAGTACTTTTTCTTCTTCTTCAATGGAACCTGATCCCAGTCGCTTAAGATATCCATCCAGCGATGGGTGAAATGGTACGATGGTGTGTGTAGTCTTTTGTAATTACTCTCCGCCAGCTTCTCACGCGCGGTGATGCGAAAGCCGTAATCGTCATGATACTCCAAGTTAGACCCGTTGCTGTCGATTGAATAAACTTGTTCTCTATCTTCAGCATCGTTGTTCGACAGTTCACTAATGTGACGGGAAACACGCCGCTTGCGCCCAGTAGTGGAATCCATTTGTGGGATATCCGTGATATTAAAAAAAAAAGAAGCCCCCACAAAATTGTCCCGTTCCTTCAATTGTTTATTTTTACTCTTTAATGTGACCTGAAATATCTTCATTTGATTATTAAAATTGGTACTATTTAATATACTACCTTACCTTAACAGGGACTGCAAAAGTAATGTATAGTATATTATTATATACATATATCGATATCTATCTTTCTATATATAAATATATGTATAGATAGATATGTATATGTGCGTTTGAATATATTAAAATGGTTCACCACACATATTATGCAGTCTCAAAAACCTATGTGCACATGGAACAATTTGTAGGTGATTGCAGGTTTTACCCGTTGGAAAGTATAATCGAAAAAAGGCAACAGAACAAGTGTAAAAATGAAAAAGGAAAAAAAAAGTGCAGAAAGAATATTGGATAAAAATAAAACACACATTACCACGCCATATATCATGACCCTTTATACAATTGCTTCCGATTTGATGTGACACACTAATAAACCTTTTAGGAACTGTGAAAAGGAATAGTCGTTAGCGAGTCCTTTTTTAAAATGTTTAATATTTACAGAAACAGAAGGAAACTCACTTCACTATTAAGATTAAACTCTTATTAAAGTGTAGAACAGATGAATAGAAAACAAAAAATGGGAAAAAGAATTTAAGGCTTATTTATGTCCCTTTTTGGCGAGTCTGTCCATTGGTGCAACTATGGCACATTTCGTGAAATTTGGTGTGGCTCACCGCTTACACAAACCTCTAAACATCGCTGTTAAGACAAACCTCATAATAAGAACGCAAACACTAAAAGATTAGATGCTTAAATTCGGATAATATTCCATTCATTCAGTGGTTAAAAAAAAAAGCGCTGATATAAAAAAAAAAGATATCAAAAAGAACCAAGTGGTAATGTTGCGCTTACGCTATTATTCACCCAAGCGCCCGTTATGTTTTTATTTTCTTTTTCCACAGCACCTGTTTGAAGTGTTATAGCTCCTAATAACCTCAAACTATTTCGTATAGTTCACGTTCGTGGGTCAGCTACGATGCTAAAACCCAACATATCGCCCAGACGGCCGGTAAAAATGCCATACCCCCGTTTAACCCGATCCCGTTGAGTTTTTACTAAGTTCTTGAAGATCCCTTTCGAGATGTGCCCTTCACTCACCAGCCAGGGGGCGGTGTGGCGCACGATGTTAAAATCCGGATTCAAACTCATCAGGAACGACTCCAATACTAAAACCGAGAAAAGTAACGACACATACGGGGGATCCATCTGCACACAATTGGAACGAATAGCATCGAAGACGTACTGCAAGGTTTTGGTGATGGCACCTCCTTCATTCCGAAAAGAACGGCATTGCTTGAAAACCTGGTTGATGTCCGCCTTGAAACGATCACAGCTGGCGTATTCTTGGCGATCGGACATATTCCATATATTCACCGCGCACAAATCAGAGTTCCACCGCACAAACGCCTCGATCAACTTCTCCGACAAGGCTGCCTCGTGCTCGGTCAGCTGCTGGCAAAGCCCGACGTCGATAAGGGTGATACTCGGTTCATGATAATCCTTGCACTGAATAAGAATGTTCCCCGGGTGCATATCCCCATGGATAAAATTATCCCGCAGGAGCATCTTACACCAGGTGTTAAGCCCCTTCCCCGCCAGCACGTCACGAGCGTGCGAGGGGAGGGAGGCCATGAAGTCGGGGTCGGCCGGCACCCCGTCACAGAACGTCTCCACAAGGATTTGGCGGGTGAACAGGAGGGGCTCAGGGAACTCTACGTAGCGCTCCCGGCGGAAGTTGGCACGGAATTGGAGCAGGTTTTCGGCCTCAATGCGGAAGTCCAACTGGGCCGCGAGGTGATTGGCGAAGTTGTGGGCCAACGCCGGGGTGTTGTAGTGCTCAAGAAAGGATAGGTAGCGGTGCATCAGGACGGCTATGTGGTTTAAAATCACAAAATCGCGAACAATCGTCTCCATGATGTTCGGGTGCATCACCTTGACCACGACGCGAGTATCCTTATTCTTTAACTTCGCGAGATGGACCTGTCCAATCGATCCAGAACCGAGAGTTTTTTCGTCGATAAAATCAAAGACATCCGAGGGGTCAGTGCCGAGCTCTTCCTTCAGAATTCTAAAAGTCTCAGAGAAGGAGTGCACGTCGACCTCATTATATAGACGCTTAAAGACCTGACGGAAATCACGAGAAAAGAGATCCTCTCGGGTGCATGCCCACTGGCCTATTTTCACAAACACCGGACCACAACGCTGGACACCCTGGAGAAGTAGATTAAGCCATACTCTATACCAACTTTCACGTAGCGACATTAACATATAGAGAACTGCCAAAGGAACAAAAATGACGCTAATGTATACTATTCGGCAGAAGATGGAAAACGTACTAGGGCATAAAATTCCTTTTCCCTCTAAAATTAAATTGCCTTTCTGGTCTACTAATGATTTAAAAACGTGTCTGGCAGGCTTGGTATACTGTCGGTACCTCACGTACGTTCCCAATCCCCCGGCCCCTAGGGTAGGTATACCCACCACAACAGCGGTAATCTTACCTGCACGTGAGGCAAAGAATTTCATAAAGTTTCTACCACTAGACTGTACCTTTAATGAAGTATCTAATAATAATATATATATGTATGTATATGTATAAATATATATATATATATATACCTAAAAGACTATTTTGCATAGATAAATATGAGGAACAAAAAAAAATTTCTACTGAATTCTACCTGTATCATGAATTGATACACATTTTGTTGTTGTTGCTAGAATAAAGCGGGAAGGTAAAATATAGATTTCATTTACCGAAGGATATATGTTCAATACCTTAAACATATTTAAACTATTAAATACGCCTGAAAAAGGATCATTTTTATAAATCTCTAGCGCTTTTGTCACATTTAAAATTTGGAAATCTAAAAGCTGAAAACTTTTATCGGTGAACTCCTTTCTCTGTTTACTTCCACACACAAACATACCGCATATACCGACATGCACAAACAAGTATAGAATTAACCTCCTTCCTATCTGTATAATCACAGTTGGACGCCTTGTCAAAATTATTTTGTAAAGAAAAGCACTAGTAGGGCCAGTTCAGCTTGTTAAGCCATTCCGAAGCTTTCTCTTGATTACCCTGTGCTAAATCTAAGAAAATGGCCAACATCTGATACGCAAACAAGGCTTCCCGTTCTGGCCTGTACTCAGTTGACGCCGATGGAGCCACCTCGTACAGCTTACCGAGGACCGAATCCATCACCATATGCGCCTGGTTCCACGATCCGGTCAAGACATGGGTGACCGCCAAATTAATAAAAAGCACCTCCACCCGGCTTCGCTGCGCCGCATCCACGCTTTCCGTCGACTGGCTGTTGATGAGCGAGGATAGAGAGGCGCGACGCAGCACCCGCAGCGCACAGCTCGGGTCGTTCAGGTGGATGAGCACCTCCACCATGTACGACAGCAGGGTGGCATGCACCGTAGACGGAAGGGGATGCTTTTCGTGGGTATTCAGTAGTTGCTCCCCGACCTCATTGGCGACCTGGTAGTTCTTGCGAAACAACTCGAGCGCCACCCAATAGAGTGAGGCGTGCTGTAAGATCTGCGCCGCCTCGGGGAACGCATCCAATGCGGAGCTTAGAGAATGCCCTTTCGGAATAAGAAGAAAAAGAGCGTTTCGGATCGCCACCGCAGCCTGATGTTCCGCTGCCGCGTGCACAGAACTGTCTTTGGGGGGTTCGTCAGCCGGCCCTGCAATTGCCGCGGCGCCTGGGAGGAGCATAAACTCAAAATTGGCGTAGACCTTTCCGGTCTGGAGGAGGGCACTGAAAGCTGATTGCTGTCGTTCATACTCCTCACGCTGACGTGCATGGTAATTGCGCTGTACTAATCCAATTGCGGCCTCCGCGAAACGAACCCAAAACAAAGGAGAGATGCGCATAATGGCCTGAACCGAAAGTAGATGCTTAATCGCCTCTTCGTAGTCCTCATGCAGCAATGCACACAGAGCCGCGTTGTAAGCAACAGACTGCTGAATGAATTCTGAGTTGGGTTGCTGCCCGGACACCTCCATCGCCTTGCTGAAACACAAAGTTGCAGCGCTGACCTTCCCATCCCCCATCGAAAAAACTCCTAAATTATTAAGATATATCGACTGCTCTATGGGATTATTGCTCGTATTCTTAAAAACTTCATGCACGCTACTCGAATCGGAGAAAGCTGCAGTCACCAAAGCGAGGAGTTCCGCGTCCTTTGTGATTTCCTCCATGCGATCGTTAAGCACACTTTGGATTAAGTCCTCATCTTCCTTACTACGAAACGACCCCCCCAGCTTGGGTGCAGGTCGTGTAACCGTGTGCAAGAGACATAAACTATACGTTAAGACTTTCAACGAAATGTGCTTGGACATTGCCAGTATGCTTCTCAAAATCGCACTTGCTTCTAGAACCAGCCCAGCGCGTGCGTAAAGAACTGCACAATTATAGAAAGCAGTCTCGTGGCCTTCGTATAATAAGGTGATGTTTCGTGTTTTGGGAGCACTGTTTTTTTTATAATTGCCCCTCGTCATCACATCCGAACTGCCGGAAGGTGGTGCTAGCTTGGTAATTGCCTGTTCAATATCCAACTTCCCTTGTAAATATTGAACCATTACTAGATTGCAATAAATCTTTAAGTCATCTGGCGACATGCCTTCAAGGATACCCTCTGCATCGCTAAACTTACCTGCATCGAATGCCTCTTGGGCTTGATGTAATTGTTGATCATAAGCAGCATCAGCCATGACTTTTTACAATCTGAAAAAAAAATGTAAGATTTGCCGTTGTTGATTACCCCCTTCCTCACACTAAAGTTTCTTGAGTGCAAATAAATTTAAAAGTGAGAAACTGGGTAACACATACAAGTGAAGAAAAAGTGAAGTGAAATTCACAATAAAGGCAAAGATAATATTCTATTGATGATATTGTTTAAACATGAAAAAACTCCGTTTGATAATACTACATCGATCAGCTAAACAAGAGAAAAGGGAGGTTATCATGTCGAAGGGGTGGAAGAACCATCTAAAGGCATTCCATCGGTATTTATGATAATAGTCCGCTGTTGTTGAAAAGTGATGCTTCATAAAGCTCTCAATGCTTGTTATCGTCAGATGTCAACATTTTCATAAACTCTTGACGAGATATGCGATGATCTTGATCCAGTACATCAGCCTTCTCAATGATTTCCATAAGCGTCTCCTCTGGCATATCTTCACCTACCTCATCTGCAACTCGCTTCATGTCATCCAATGTGATAAATTCCGATTTGCCCTGCGTAAAGAGTGGAAACGCTAGTTCTAGCTCCTCGTCATTGTGCTCTAAGAAAAAGGCTTGACGCATGATTTCCTCAAATTCAGCCAAAACAATGCTATTTGAAACCCCACTACGATCCATTTTGGCTATCAGGTTTCGAACTACATCCCTCTTCGGTTCATAGCCTAGAGCTCGTAAAGCAACCTTGAGATCGTTCGGCGTCATGGCCTTGGAGCCATTCATGTCAAGCATACTAAATGCCTCCGAAATGTCCTTCTTCTGCTCCAACGTCAAGTCCGATTTGAGGCGATGACCTTTTTGGGTAGAGAAGCTTCTCTGGCTCATCCTAATATATGGTGCGTGCCCACTAAGCGCAATAAAAAGGAAAGTTATTTATTTTTAATGCTAAACATAAAATTGCTACAACATCGAAAAGATAAAAATATGGTGCTTAAATCGATAATAAATATCGTAGCTCACTTTCTACTTGAAGTGAATAGTGATTTCAATCCAAAGTGATTTTTTTTCTCCTTAAGCCCAGTTGAATAATATTCATGAGTTTTAAACAAATTTGAAGGCAAAAAAAGCATATATGCGAACTGATAAATAACAGCATATCACAATAAAACGAAAAGAATTACTTCACATATAATATTCTTTCCAGGTGATCACAGAGAAGCAGAAGATCTAACTTCTCAAATGAATCGCAAATCTTTACGACTATAGCTACAATAATAAATATAAGTATCAATACTTGATGTTTCCTTTCTCTCTATGCAGATACTAAAATGAGCTTCCTTTTAGTTCCTAACCCATTAGAACCGCTGAAAAAGAAAGTTGATAAATCTAGGGTTAGGAATCTAAGTTACACATTTACCGTATGTATACTTTTATCGATCATCATTCTTCTTGCTAATCTTGCATGAGTGCCAAACCAATAGGGCGAATCCCTCCTTCCAAGGCGCATGTGCAGCTTATTGGCAGCATCCGGTACAGCAGGAGGGCGGTGGCAACGTGTGAATGTTGGACCCCGGCACTCCGCCAGAGGTCGACGAGGGGTGAGGCCGCTGCTGTGGACCTGAAAAGAACCGTCGGAGCAAATTTCCACGGGGCGCTGCGTTAACACTGCCCCATGTTCTGCCTTGCGGAATCGCATAGCCACGGGACTGGAGACGAAACCCTTCGATCTGTTGATTTAACGAGTCCAGTGACAGCATTGAAGAAAGAAATAACTGAAAAATAGACCACAGGGTGAACAAGAAGCCCTGTGTTGCAAATACACTATCCTTGTTCTGCATAGGTACAAAGATATCGTTCTGTATATATGTCTACCTATTAATTGGTGATGTAACGTTTGTAAATAACTCTTTCTTTTATAATCTCTAAAGAAACAGAGAATATACTTTAAAAACAAAAAATTATGAGATAGAAAGTTAAAGATTTTCCTTAAAGAGAAGGGCAATCGATCATTTTCCAGATGAAAAAATGCAGCATGCATAAAATAATAACAATAATGAAAATCAAACCCATAATTAAACGCCTTTAATTGTACAGAACAGACCACACTACGATGTTGTATACAACCCTGACTGTGGATTTCCATTATTTAGCGAATTTAAAAGCACACATGCTCGACATAGTTGTTGACTGGTAACATAGCCACATCGTGCGCACGATCCTTGTGCGTTGGTTGGAATAGCATCTTTCGAGTTCACAATTATTCGCTCACCACTGTGAACTATGTCTGCAATGCATCGAGGCTGGATAACCTCCAACTCCTTAATCAGAGTCCGTACGGTACCTCTAAACGCCTCCTTGGCGTAGCTACACTCGGTTGTGAAGTAGTCTAGTTTGTTGAAATGTGCGTAGAGTACGATATCCTTTTCGTATGTGTATTTAAGTGGCTTAACCCGAGAAAGAAGTCCCTCACCCTTGGAAAAAGCCTGCGTGCAGCGTGCCAAGCGTGGGGCATCCCCGCGCAGTAGATTCATAAGCACTGTCTCTGCTGTATCATCCGCGTTATGCCCGGTGACTATTTTGTTTGCGTTTATAAGTACAGCACCGCGCTCTAGAGCTTGGCGCCGCATCACACCGCAGAACGTACAACTATTTTTGAGGCCAACGACGGCAACGATTTCGTCCATCGTCCAACCGTATAGATCTTGATAGGACAGTATATGGAGCGGCAGTCCATAAAAAGCGGAGTTGCGCTTAACCGTCTCTAAACTATGATCACGGTAGCCTTTGATCCCTTCATCAACACTAATCAACTCTAGATGAATCCCATAGTCATAGCGCTTGTTGAGCTTGGATAAAATATGCATTAATAAGGTACTATCCTTTCCACCGCTGGCACCACTAGCTACAATGTCCCCGCGCTCAAATAGCTTTTCGCGTTGAATGGTATCGTGAATCTCATCTTCAATTCGGCGAAAAAAGCACCCCTGGCAAAGCATTTCGCCATTTCGCGGACGCTTCAGGACCGCGTGATTCTCATTGCAGAGGACACAAGGTCGCTTCTTAGAGGACATACGAAGTCAACGTAAAACTTTGTAGTTTCGTAAAGTAATCGAGGCAAAAAAGCAACATGAAGCACTTGAGAAACGAAAAGAACAGAAAATGAGAAAATACGCATTTTAAACCTACAGAATAACTTCATTGTGTTCATGTTCCTTTCGAATTTTGTTTTTTGTTTTCTTTAGCAAAATACATGACTGTCGGCGTGTGGATTGTGAATCATAAATCCACACTCCCCCCTCCTCTCTCTCACTCTCGTGTAACTACCAAGGTATATGTTAAGAGCTGTTGGGGAGACGGTGGAAAGGGAAGCAGATGTACTCTCATATACATATAGTTCCCTGTTCTCTCCTGGCGAACTTCACACATAAACAATCTATCCCAATGAAACTTACTACCTCCCTCTTACAATCCAAAAGTATCACCACACACCGTCACAAAAGGCTGTGCAAGAAAAAAATTCAGCTAAACACATTGAAAAGATCTGGAATCGGTATTCCCGAATGATTGACATAAGCCATCAAGGTTTACCATGGTCTGTTGATATCAACTTGTACCCCTCGGTGGCTCTTTGCCCTATTATTGTCCACCAAACTCAAATTAAGGTGGACGCCGCCGCGAAAAACACCTTTTTGGATTTGAAAGGGATTCTTCCAATACACCCTGTTCTTTTGTAGTGCCTGAAACTCGTGACTCTTTCCTTAAGACCTGCGTATGCACGTGTGACCGCACAGACTGGCTAAGAGGAACTTTTTCCCCATCAGACTTTAGACTTGTATCAAGTTGAATACTATCGAATCGCGATGCGTCTCGCAATACCATCCGGTTTTCACCCTTTTTCTTCGTCTTTACATTTTCAAGAAGAGGTACAATGTTCGACTTGCCACAACTGCCGAGGAATCGTTGAGAGCATCTGGAGATCTTTGATGATGCGATCTTTGGGAGCAAGGTATTCTTTGAGACCTCTTTCGATTCTTCATTCTTCATAATTCCAGTGGAATTATCACTCAATTGCTCGACATAGTAAGGGACTACCACCTCATCCCATAATCTGTCAAATACCAACATCTCTACCTCGGCCAGTATCTCTGGTGGAATTATTGAAGGTGTCATGTTATCTCGCGACAACTTGTTGTGTCGTGTGGGTAACAAGGAACCTCCTTTCGTATCGTCCAGTGCAAAAACATCAACAGGAGGTGTGCCATGGTGTGATAAAATCTCTTCGAAACCACTCAAAGTGGTGTCGCTACCACTCAGCTCCGAGGGGTTCAAAATTGGCAGGGAGTGACCTTCAACACATAACTTGTTTAACTCATGCGGGATATAAAAGCTAAAGTCCCCCGCTTCACGTCCCACAGTCACTCCCTCACCATGTTCTACCGAAGCTCCGTTAAACGCCTCAAACAAGCTAAATCCAGATACAAAAAGGCTATCCACCGGGACCACCTCACGAAACTCGTAGACGATGCTATTCAACACCTCCTGCCAGACCCCTGGATCCCTTTGCGATGGACGGTAAGGGTTCCATTCCGCCCGTGGGCCTTTTTGCGCTGCCTCAAGCGCCACCTCGCTGTGCGTGGCGGCCCACAGGTCGTCCAGAAGCCCCTGGAGACGCCTCTCAGTGGCCTCCTCCAGGTGCTGAGTGAACTCGAAACCCCCTTCCTCATGCCTATGGAAAAAATGAGTAGAAGGAGAGAGAGGTGCGAAGAAGGCCTCCACGTCTGACCGCTCTCCCCTGTCTGTCCCCGCGACGTAGGGCAAAGGCGCATTCCCCGAAAGATGCCTCATGGAGGAATCGTGTTGGGACGCATACAACGCGCTGTCACCCGTGAGTGTCTAAAAGAGCTGTCTATCTAATAATACTATACAACGGGTTTCATACACTATGTTGCAAGGGGTGAAAACAGAAACAAATTAAAGTGCATGAACCTCACCAAGCAAAGAAAGAAACCCGAAAAGAAGAGTGAAACCTTCCATTCCAAGTAAGAGGTATACTTCCTAAAAGTTTCATCTTTGGGGGGATCGCTTTTAAATACTTTTTTTTTCCTCTATGAATGCGCGTAGCATATGATATTTATAAAAATAGAGGGTTGGTGTATATATAATAATACAAGCTTACGTCTAATACTTATAATTGGCCTGTGTAATGGAGTACAAAGAACAAAAGGCACCTTCTCCAAAGCGAGGGAGAGGGAAGGAAATACTTCTAGATGCTCCGTGATTCAGTAAACTAAATTTCACTGAGGTGTACAAAAGAGATTTAGATAACAAAAAAAGGCAAGTTATAATTTATTTAAAAGAAAGATATCAATCGTAACGTCCCAGAATTGCCTCTTTCCGTCATATTGAAACACTATGTAAAGGGTTCCCCCGGCAAGGACTTTTCTTGCTCGTCCCAAAGCTTTGCGATCGCTCCGACTCGTTTGTTATACTTAATAGCTTGCACCTGATGAGGTGTTAGCTTACGTTTAGAGGTTCGCTTTTTAGGAGACTTGGATTTAGTTTTGCTTACTTTGGGGAGTGGAACTTTGGCTATTTTCTTCTTTAGAGGAAGGATCTTCCGCGCCGTGGTGGATTGCGGTTTCGATGTAGACCGAGACCCACGACCACTAGACGAAGCCCACCGATAGGAAGATACCAATTCAGATCGAGATTGGGCATGGCTATACATAAGGAAGCGAAAGGATTCAAATGAGCTAAATAGAACAAGCGGACGTCTAAAACACGCTAAGCTTGCACTATGAGTAAATGTTGGAAGTATCCGACCTAATCTATTGGGCTTAAATCCCAAACAGAGAATAGTATTACCATACATGATACCCTTTTGCCACTCTCTGTTTGTAAATCTAAACTTATATATATATATATATGTGTGTGTGTCTTCCCTAGGTGCGTTTGATGACAGTATCGAAGAGAGGGTAAGATGAATAAATGAATGAAAAAAAAGAAAGCAATTATAAATAAGTGTTACATTGTATTGAAGTTTAATTCAGATTTTTATTTTCACCTATAGAAATATGAACAAATAAAAAGCAAGCACATATATATATGTTTTCTTTTATAGCACAACTAGAAACATTCAAGAAAAAAAAGTAATCCCTTTTCATCCACATCTTTCCTTAAAAGGTGGAAATACGAAATGATATTCGAACAATGAAGCCAATCGTTCTCCCTTTGTAAATATAGAAAGAGTTCAGTTTTTTGCCTCTTTTTATTATTCTAAGCATGAGACTTGGGTAAATAAAATAATATTAATCGAAATATGTAAATGAGCAAAAAAAGTACTGATGTTTCAGACTTAAGCTCTTTTTTTTGGGGGGGGGGGGGAGGGAGAAGGGGAGAGAAATAGAAATGGTAAGGAGACCGGTTATGTTCTCAAGAGGGTTCTCTCCCACGCAGAAAAGCGCTCAAGGCTACTGCGATCCCTGTCAATGCTGTGCTCAGACCAACTATCATTGTTGTATGCTTTGCCGTTTCCTGGCGTTGTGCGGCTTGAATATACGTTCTAAGTGCCTGGCCTTGGCGATTACTGGGCTCTAGGATTAGCATTTGGGTAATACACGTGCTCGCTCGCTTCAGGTCCTTGAGTTTAATCCATCCCAGCGTCAGATAGTAGTGAAAAACGTGCAAGTCATCATTACGCTGTGAACGGCTCAGTACGTCCCCCGTGTTATCCGAGGGCTTGTTCGTTACCTTGCCGATTTCGGACTCGGAGGATGGTGTTTGGGGATTTTCCGCACACCGCATCCCATACTGCAGATCAATGCATGGGTGATCCTCACTCACTACACCGTCTAACATGCTCCATTTGGCAGAAGAAATCTCACAGTCCTTAAGAATACTATTCGTGAGTGCACTTCCAACCTCCGAGTGCTCATCTTGAACTGTAATGGCTGGTTTGTTTTTGTCGTTTTTGAAAGATGGCGATGGAGTTGGCGTTGGAGATAATTCCGATTGTTGAACGAAGGCTTTTCGCCAACGGTTCTGCCACTGTGTGGAAATAAGAATCTCCATAATGTGCACACCCTCCTCCACAAAGGAAAGCCGAGAGTGGGAAATCAAGGCAACGGCAAGACGAAAAGCAATTTCATTGTTGTTGATGTTGTTTTGGTATTGAATACGTAATGTTCGAATCGTCTCGGCTAAACCGGATAACTCGTTCACAGTAGGATAGAAGAGAAGCTCTAAGTCAGGGTTTAGCTCGAAGACCTCCCTTAATTTCTGCATAACGTGTCTAAAAGTGGAGGTAAACGACTCCTGCCAGTAGGTACTGAGAAGTTTTAAAATAATTTCTGGACTTTTAAAAATTTTTTAATGAAACAGAAAGTAGGATTATTCACGCTTTAATCATCATTCCAGGATTAGAGATACAAAAGCATATTATGCTCCTTGCCTAATCAGAATAATTGATTAAACAGTTAGGTGATAGAAAAATAGATGAAATCCTTTGTTAAATTTCAACATCAATTTTATTCCATAGCACCCCTAATACTATTAGATATATTGATATATTGAGACATGTATCACTTAAATTAACATTTACTCACTAAGTATAGATTTATATGTGTCTTTTAGTTAGATGATTCATCATTTAGAGGCAGACATTGCCTTTTCGATCTCTTGAATAAAAATTTTAGTGTTGAATTCACCATTGGGTCCCATGAACTTCAATAGGTAATTCGCAATACTACCGCCCGGATTACTAACCGAAAAAAGAATGTGCTTGGGACCTTCTTTTCCCAATACAAAAGCATTCTTATCTATCAAAGAATTCAATGAATATCCATTACGAACGAGGAGACGATAGCAATAATCGGCAGTATTGTTGTTCCCCTTGGAATTATCATCTTGCACATTCCCACTTGTCGCCTCAGACGCATTATAGCACTCGTGCTTCACCTTTGCTTCGCTCTCGCCGCGATCTAGCCATTTCTTATTCTTCGAATCAAATAAAAATAATTTGCACGGTGCCGAAGCGAGCACCTCGCCGCTGCTGGTGATAATAGAATGGGATTCAAACTTATCCGCAGTATCATCATCTTTGTGGTCCTTCGCTTCGTCATGCGCATCGTCCCCTTCAGTATTCAAGGAAGTATTATTATCTTCTGTGGTATTTTTACGATCCTCCTCAAGCTTTTTGCGTGCATCCACAAATGACTTGACGGCGCCTGCAAAACTGAAGGTACTACTCCCAAACAAATGACTATTATTCTGTTGTGGTGTTTGGTTGCCCTTAGTCAGTTCATTACGCGGAGCGGTATCCGTATCCGATCTCGCAGCCGCGGTGGTGAAGGAAAAAGAAAAAGAACCGTTACTGCCAGCCCCTGTCGCGCCAGGGGAAGTTGTCTGTGGGTGAAAAGAAAAACTTGGCGCTGGAGAGACGTTGGTGTTTGCGCAATCTTTCTCTGGTGACTTATGGGCGGGCTTCGACCCGATGCCCGCGGCATCCCCACTTGTAGTGGCGGCATTGGGCCCGTTAGCAAAACTGCCGAACTTTCCGCCAAAGTCAAAGGGGGCTTTTCCAGTGATCGCGGGATCGGGAGCGGCTGGGCGTAGATTTTTGAAAACCCCGCCTGTGCCCGGTGAAGGTGTCTGCTCAGCTCCTGTAGAGTAGGCGTCACGCCGTACTTTGAGGAAACGACGTTTGGATAACTCCTCCTCGCTCGCGATAGTTGGGATCGTTTCGTGTTCATGATCCGCCTCGTCATCATGATTCTCACTTGTTAACTGAAAATCAGCTGAGCGCTTTACACCAGGCATCCCTCTTTTGTATATATATATATATATATATATATGTAGCAAAAGTGTAAGTTGCTCCTAAAGCCTTCACTTCTGTTTTTTTGTACTAGATGAAGGAGTGAATTGTAACTAAACAAAGAGTAAAAGAGAGAAGAAAACTAAGGAAGTAATCTTTAGCATATCAGTTTCGTAGCTATGCAAAACAAATCTATCATATCTACAATTTACTATACTTATACTATATCTCTTGAAAGGTGTTTTTACTTAAGTATCAAAGATGTAAAAGGTTACTTAGGAACAGTAAAAATAATTATTTTGCAAGTTCAATATTATATTTCTATATAAAAATCATTCGATACATATATTATAGCAAAACACCTTTTATGCTAGGATTGCGTGGCTTATAAAGTAAAAAAATAATAATCTAATAAGCTTCAAATTTGGTCTCATTGGAAATTTCAATAAAATTAAGTAACCCCCAGATGAAATGTAAGGTCAGTGATAAGTGAATCGTTAATACATGCGCATGTATTAAACATAAACAAGAAACAGGAAAACCATAGATATAAAAGGAGTTATCACATAATCGCACACGTGCTTTTGTTTTCTTCCGTTATAGAGGGGTTAACATGCAATTGGCCGCGAATCCGTGATCGTAAGGACTCAGGTATTTCGTCGGTACACGAAGCAATCGCATCAATCAGTGTATCGACATCGGTGGGTTTAAAGAGTCCAAAAGTAACTCCACCGCTTTTTCGATACATCATAACGTTTCCAGCATAAATATGGCCACCGATATGCGAACATGGAAACACAGAAACCCGCTTTGCGCCGTCCTCCCCCATCTTCCGCTGAATGGCCTGACGGAAAAGATGGACTAAAACTGCCCCACAGTATCCGCAGCGCTTATCCCGGCTAAGGTGGGCGCAAACAAAGATGAGGCACTCGTCAGTGCGGTCGACCTGGAGGATTCCGTTCGCCATCCATGGCGTACTGACAGGGTCGGGGATGCTGTACTGCATAATCTCAAACCGCTGGGTGCTCGGGTTAGTGCGAAAACGCAGGATAAACTCGTCGCCATCGGTTTCACATACAAACAAAGACGCCTTAGGGCTGTCCTTAAGAAAGCTCCGATTGAGCTCATGGTAGTGAGGGACATTGTCCGCGCGCGTATTCCACTGCATACAGGACATGTTGGAGGCTATCATTAGAATCTCGCGATCCATTTTCATGCTGTTGGGTAGCGACTCCGGTACAGGGCCGCAGCATTCCCCGCGACAGAAGCCGTAAACGGAAGGGTCCAGGCCCTCGATGTCCTGTAAGGTCTTGTCGTTAAGATGCGATTGGATCGCCTCGAAGGAATTTAAATCCTCAAGCATAAGTAATATTAAAAAAGGAAAAGGGTAAAAAATATACCTAGCAGTTGCGTCACTTTTACTGATTAACTGCGCTATACTTATTATTAATGCATAAAAACAGAGGAAAATGGAGAGAAAATATAATTCGATTCGTTTTTTTTTTTGGTGTGTGCATCAGTTTAGTATAAATTAGTAACGTAAACAGTATGCTCAGATATAGTATGATTTACAGTATATCCCTTCATTTTGGTTGTTGTCGTTGGTGTATATCTTCATAAATATCCAAGCACAAAAGTAAATAAGCGAGTATATCCAAAGTTTTCACCATAGGGATAGCCACCAACTCACAGTTGAATTGCTAATTGCTATTTGCATTGGAAGCATCACCCTTAACTTTGGAACTAAGTGGATTCACTAAAGGAGGGCGCATAAGCATTTTCTTTGGAACACAATAAGGAAACAGAATTGCATTACAGACAGAATTGAGAGGTGCCTTACCAGCGAGTTTCGTTTCCCAACTCTTTTTTCGCTTCAGATTTCCAATCGTAGTGAGGGCGAGTTGTTGCTGACGGTAGACAGAAAACCGGTCCTGAAAGAGAGTCACTAATGGCGGGACCACAAACTCAAATTCGCGCTCATTCAATGAGCCGTCAGTTTGAATCGTCAATGTTTTGTACAATCGTGGAAAACGGCTGCGCTCGATCACTAGCTCCTCACGATACATGCCACGGTTTTCAAGGTGCTGCACTTCGCTCGCATGAAGATCCTTAATAAAGGGCCGAAGGACATAAGGAATCTTGTAATCTACTGGACGCAACTTTGGGTGGCTAGGGATGTACCTAGCCAAAGGTCGAAGACCAGCCGGTGGTGGCGCACTCTTGTTGACTACTGCCCATTTATGTAAAACCATCTGTCCAAAGAAAAAGAGGATAACGCTTGAAAATAAATAAGAGCAAAAAGAGCGTAACAATAAAAAAAAACAATTCGTTGGTTTTATATATAAATATATGTATACAATTTTCTTCACGCACAGCGAATTTTTTTTATTTTGATGAATATCGACTTGATTAGGAAACCATTTAGCCTCAACTTGTATGAACAATAATATTATTAGTATACCGGACCTAATTTCATTCTTCTGAAGCTCTTTCCTTCAAGGCATCAAAAACCAGTCCACATTCGCCTATCCACTCAAGTGATGGAAGCGAATCATATGGACGCTTCAGTGGCTGAGCTTCTTCCTTCATACGCTTAGCCACCGCCTTCGGAGGGCCCATATGGCACTCGGCGAGAGCAAGAATGCCACCAGTTTCCGGATGCAGCCATAAAGCTGCGATAGAAAGCAAGTTAATATCCCGCGCAGAACGAACTTCTCCCTGTGTGAGAGACAGGCAGCAATGGTCTACTAGGGCTAAGAATATATGCTCAATTAAATTGGTAAGGTTTTCCACATTCTCTGTTATGGAATGTAAAACGGAAGAATAGAAACCACTTACAGTAGAAAATGACGCAACAGCGATGCAAGTGTGCAGAAATCGGATGAACTTTTCCTTAGTGATATCAAGACCTTCATATACTGTGCGGAACCGTGCATAGCGCCAAATCGCGCTATATATAGAGTCAACACCAAATTGCGCAAAAATATCAGGTAATGGTTTTCTACACCGCATGTACACTGAAAGTTGCGATAAAAGAAACGTCAAGGCAGCATTCGACAACAGGCACTCATGGGTTGCTACGCGGTATAGCTCAAGTGCTAGCACCACCACAATCTTAAGGCTCTCCTCACCACTTGATGTCAAAACAAAAGGAATGTTTCGAGATCTGAGGAAGGTGATTGCGGCCCTCTGAATATCGAACTCGTAGTCCATTGAGCTACGATGTTTGGCTGCTAGTTGCTGTCCAATCAAACTCAGCTCTACAACTGAATCTAAGCGCGTCTTTTCTGATTGAGTCAACGCAGCAATAGTTTGGCCTAAAGCATTAACTACTACAGCACATTGCACCAGCGAAGTCCTGTCATGAACCTCCCCTGGGCTTCCCACAAACACCATGCAGTATGAACACTTTGTTTCGCTTGAATCAGAATCACTTGCCAAAGAAAAGGACGTCGAAAGCAAAGCGGTTAGCCTTATTTGAGCCTCACGCGCTACATTGGCGTCCACCACCACCATTATGGGGGGTGCAAAGGCGGACTTGGCGCACCGGTGCTTCTGTGTATTCGTGATTCGATAGGCAGTCGCTTCCGCAGACTCTGGGTTGGGTAAGCTTTGGTCGTCCAAGTACACAAAACCCGTCTCCGAGACGCAAGATCGAGTACCCTGCGTTGGAAGCAGATTATTCATAACATATTGATACAGCTTGTGAGAATTGTAAACTGCGATGGAGTTAAGGCACGCCATGATGACTTCTCGTAAATCAGAATTAGAGAAACGTGTTGATCTGTTGCCCTTTGCGTCGTCAAAAATGGCACAACAGTAGCACTGCCATTGAAGCCTGATGGAGTGGCGAACCTCCACTAGCATCATCCGTCTAGATAGCGATAGTCGATGCACCGTTCCCGGGCGCATTCGCATTAGAAACGAAGAAAATGCCTGAGAAACTAGCTGTGTGTAATAAGATAAAAAGCGCCATCCCTGAAAAATCCAAGGATTTGCAATTACGATTGATTTTCGGGTAATATCACACCAACCATGCAACACAGCGGCCTCCCAGTGTGAAAAAGGCTTTGTATGTAAGTACGGCAAGAAGTTTACAGCTGCGTTTGTGAATATACTACAAGAGGTGTTCCCTCCAAGGGGTAAAGATGATGCATCATGAAGAAAACCGGCAGTTGAACCCATTGAAAATAAGCTGAGTCGACCATTCTCTTTGAAGTATTCAGCAACTATACGAATCATAGCAGGCGCTGGAAACACTCCATACATGAGTTCTGGAAATCCGACCCTCACGGAATCCTTCCGGCCAGTGAATATTACCCCCTCGCAGCAAAAAAAAAGCTCCGCTGCAAATCCCAAGATCACGGCATCTGGTTCAACAAGGGCCATGATGCGCACCCCACGATCGGCAGCGCTCAGAATGCGTTCCAACAATTCTTCTTTGCGAGAGCTCACATCCAGTCGATGTAGAGCTGAGGCCCCTAACTCACTGTAGACCGGATTAAGCGACAACGGCGTATTTGGTGCACCATCCGCGTGGTGTTGCGTTCTCACTAAATGCAGGTGAATAGAAATCGCCGTCGTGTCATCTCCGCCTTTGGCTGGAGACAAGGACTCCACCTGCGTAAGTGCCTGGTTAAGCCCACGAAGGGCATCCCACAAGGTGGGAATCGGGGCCTCAGGGGCAATCGTGAACACCCTACGCTCGGGGTCGTGCGAGAGGGAAAGCAACGAACAGAATGGATCCGTCAGTGGCTCGTGATCGGCCGTCTGTGAGGACGCATCCCTGACAGCGTTGTTAAGTTGGTAAGTAGAACGAACAGGACAGTATTGAAAGGATTCACCGGATTGTGCCAAGAGCGGTGCCACCTCCTGCGCATCGTCCATTAGATGGTTGCTCTGTTCGGTGGAACAGGTGTGTGTATTTTTAAGCGAAAGAGGAGTAGGAAGTAAAGGCACCTGATCATTTAGAAAAGCGCCGACATCCTGTGTTGATTCTTCCCTTTCATTTTTAATAGGCATGGGGATCCCTGTCTTGATATCCTCAAGAGCTGGAAGCGTGTCCACGGTAAGTTGAACGTTGTTGTTTCCCCCTACTCCCCTCAGAAATTCCTTCGCATCATGGTGAGGCCTTGATCTAAAAAGCATGCGCTCCATCTCCTCCAGACAAAATGAGGCATCTAAACCTTCACAAGTGGATCCGAAAGCAGAAGCACGTAAGTCAGAAGCCTCACCTGCGCTCCAGCTCGACGGAGAAGTCAGAGGAAGGATATGATCTTTAAATGAAAAGATTCCTTTCTCTGTAGAAACTCTTGACAAGTCTTGTAATGGAGAAGAAGATACCGACAGACGTGAAGAGTGAGAACGTTCAGTAGATTCCTTGATAAAAGATAACTTTGCTGCTGAAATACTCAATTTACGCCTTAAACGAGAATCACGACGTTCTTTACTGAGCCTCTCAATACTTTCTACCAAGAGTTCATCCTTGGAAAAGGGTTTGTGGGACGAAAGGTCTTTTCTATCGTCAGGATTTATGTCTTTCAGTTCTCTTTCATTGCCTAGGTTCGATGATGTGCTTTGAGTGTGAATGTGCTGCAAACCAACCCATAGAAATGGAGATGCCACTGAGAATCGAACTTTTAACCCCAACTCTTGCCAAGTGCGTCGATACACATTGTGCATCTAGGGAGAAGGGGTAAATTGAAAAGAACTACAAGTAAATCAAATTCATGGCCATGAAGTATAAGAAAATGAAAAAGAGAGGAATAGGTAAGTGTTAGCCAAGGGCTTTTTACCGTAAGCAGGCTGATTAAACAAATAATCAATCAAACACAAGAATCCTTTCAAAAGGAAAAAAAAGTATAAAAAATGGAAAGAGACGGGAATCAAAACAGCTGCCAACACTTTAGGTGACACAAAATATCCTAGGATATATCTCGAAAAAGATCTCTGCTCAAATCAGAAATGAACTCATCAGAATGCATTCCAATTGCGCTTTGAATTTTAGGTCATAAACATATAGATGATCCTTCCCTCTCCCCTATCCCGTCAACTGGGTATAAAGAAAGATTGGTCTTAAATGTCCCCATTGACAGCCCCCGAAAGAAACCATGCAAGCACATCTCTATCTGAACTACATGGATCCAAGTTGGTGGAGCACATTGCGGTATTCACTGATTGCACTTCTACACAGCGTAACACATCGTAGCCAAACCGCTCCACGTTTGCCTTGAAGAGCAAAATATCTGACTTTGCGATGTTCATACTATCTACGTCCGAAGCGGGAATTGGTTTCGTGACTTCGCGTATTTTAATTGATAAGAAACCCAAAAGTGGGACCACTATTCCCTTCAGATCGTTAGGTGGCAACAAAGGGCGCAAGCTTCGGATTAGTCTCGCCACTTCGCGAAGTATAGTCATAATCCACTCGTTCCCTCGTGCGTTGTACTCTTTGGGTTCGCCTTCCATTAGCCCTATCCGATCTACCTTCTCAAGTACTATCGAGCTAATCTTATTAAAAAAATCATTACGATGAGCCTGACAACCTTTTATGACCTGTTTAAAATCATTGTCAATAAAGGGCAAGAGCATGTTAACAGCCCATGAGCCACGGGGCAACACCACGGCTCCCACTTGCGTCTTCTCAAAATTGCTTTGTTTCTCAGAAGTTATAGTTTGACGACTTGCGGCACCCAAAAGGCGCACCAACCGTTGCTGTAATCGCGGAGTAAAGTCCGCAAGAAAAGCCACGCATTGGGAAGCCACACACAAATGGAGGGTAGTGATATTTGTCAATACGCCATTTTTCATTGCTTGAGCACCGAGCACCATACTTGCACATAAGTTGTCATACAAAGCCAAAACCTCGTACATTTTTGAGGCAACATCCATTCCTAATGAAGGAAAACGAGCAAGGTAGCTGTCATAATTTGCAAGTAGTTCCAATAAAATAAGAAGAGAATTGCTTGCCGCGCGGCCGTTATCATCTTCGTTGAGCGAAAGGTACAGTCTGTTAGCTCTATTGTAAAATGTAGCCTCCTCGTCATCTTTGATAGTTTTTTTTGAAGATGAAACAGTAATAACAGGAGATGAAACTTGGATATTATCAGATGTCGCTGTCATGATAGCATCCCACTCAGATACAGTGTAGCCAGCCTTAGGTAGCTCAATCGACTGCGAGATAAATTCTTCGACGTCTTGCCCGTCACTTGAGCACAAGTGCTCCAATTGAGCCTGAAAAAAGGTATCAATATTGTCTTTTGAAGCCCATGTTTCGGCCTCAAGGACTAGATTCAGCTTTTCCATTTGTTGAGTGTGCTGTGCCTTTAGCGAGTATTTAGCTAAATTCAGAGCTATGACTCCGATTTGTTTGCCTAACCTAATTCGACCCACCACGTTGCTCAGCACTTCAGAGTGCAATGACGACAACACACTCAACGGGTACAACATGTGCCCAACAAACCTATTCCCAATACGCACAAGTCTTTCCACTTCTGCAATATTGGTATGAAGTTTGCTACTGCATCGCAGCTCCAAGTAGATGGCAATAACCGACTCGGCATCTTCATAAAGAGCAATAAATAGGTCAAAAGTCCATTGTGCTAGCAACTCGTGTTTATTCTCATGCATAGATAGTGCATCCAGTGCACACTCTAAAATAAAATATCCCCAACACTGTGCATTTTTAGTTACACTCTCGACAAGAGCCTCAACCAGGATTTCAAGGAGCTGAATATAAAGGTCAAAACGACACTCACTGCAGTATTCTAACAGTGACTTCCTTTCTTCTACTGTTGGTTCCGGGGATAACACAAGTGAGAGCAACCTATCTGCCTTGACGTTGCTGAGGCACCCCTCCCAGTTTATTAAAAAGTTTATTACGGTCTCTCGGACAACTCCCCACTGTGCACGTAGTCTCGACTCTCGGTGGGTACGTAAAGCAAATGAAAGGACGCGCATATGCGCGGCAGCATTAAGAACTCGAGTAAACCCAGTGACCGACATCGAGGAAGATTCCGCACCAGCATTTTCCAAGCCAATGAATACTTCAGAGCATAGCATTTGCTCAAGATCCTTACGCGCTGCGGCTATGCGCGACGGTACTAGGGTCATAAAATTAAGCTGTGGCATTAACTCTAAAGAGCTCAACACTGGTGATAGTGATGTCGTGATAGACCAAGAAGATGCTTGGTCAGAGTTCACACGACTCTCCCTGCCCTCTTCCACACTCATGTTGCATGCTTCAGATCCGCTTGTTGTAGCAAAAGTCGCAATAGTATTGCGAAAGGACACTTCCAAGTCAAGTAAACGATGAACATATGCTGAGAGTTCTGATATCTCGCGCTCTGGTAGCGCAATCCAATTCTCAATATCTTGCAGTAGCTGTAGCACCCTTTGCGTGGAAGACAGAAGCAAGCTGAGCGACTCGATATTATTCCTTCGTTGGTACAGTCTGCCAATAGACAAGTACTGATGAATGGTCTGAGTCATGTGCACCCCTCCTACTTCACGTACAGTACTCAACTCTTTCAAGGCATTCCTAGATATGTCACTTAGTAATCCAAGTTCACGAGATTCTCGAAGGAAGTTCTCCGAATGGCTTTGAGCGTGTCTAAGTAGGCAGTTTTCAACCGATGTTTCCCACATGCGTAACTTGTTACCGAACTGTTCCAAAACCTCAAAGTCCTTTGCAAACGTGTGCGAGCAAATCGATTTTTGATCGCATGCGCATTCACTCTCCGTATCATCAGGCTTGGGATTTCTGCCAAGGCCCGCAGAATCATCAGAGGGAACGCTGAAGAGTTGCATCAGCATTGCCTTTGGAGCGTAGGTAGTACTAAAGAAATCCTCAGGGATCATATCAGGCCACGGCAAATCCTCTTCTCGTTGCGCAGAACCCTGTAAAACAGATAAGGTTTCAATCATCTTTTGCCCTTCGTTCCGATTAGTGTGATATGCCGCAGACACAAGGTTAACATAGTCATTATAATCCGTTCTCGAAATGTGTTCTGTAAGAAAGAAAGAGGAAGGTTTTTGCCATGGCTGGTAGTGGTATGAAGCCCTGTACGACCCCTCTAGGCTATTGTTGGAGTGCCCATTGTAGTCCAAAGCTTCATAAATCTTACTGCTGAGCCGCGCCCCCCAATCCGACGACTCCGTAAACTCCTCAGGGTCATTGAGGATTGAAATAAAGCTCTGACCCACAGAACTCTGCAGTGATTTAAAGTATTGCTCAGAGAAAGGTGTGAAAACTGAAAAGGTTCTGTCGTGTTTTGCTGGGTCAGGCATGTCCCTAGCAGATGACACGCTAAGTTCGGTACGTTTACCGAGATAGTCTCGAAAGGATGTTACAGTCGGGATATCCACCTTATCCGTGGGGTTGATTTCCTGCAGTGCGGCTATAAGGGATAAAGGAATACCATGTACTATCCCGTTTTTACTTTCATTCAACCATCTAACTAGTTGGTTACGCATAAAATCTGACGATACATCATTCCGGATGCATTCCTCGATTACGAGGGGTGGCAATCCGAGTATCTGAGACAGCTGAAAACATGTAAAACCTTTTTTAGCGATTAAAAAGGCACAAATAACCGCAGCAGGGCTATGTTGTGAAGTTAAAGTGAACTCAGTAATAGATAATGATGTCGAGTTTGACATATCAAAACTGTTTTGATCCTGAATCATCATGTCTATGGCTTCACTTCTAAAATGGCATGTACACCTTTTACCTTTCCTAGTTTAATACCGTGAAATACCAATGTAATGCTACCTACAAAAGATACTTTCGGAGGAGAACAAAAGGTACTAAATAAAGGAAGATGGAAATATTTTTTAAGTAGTTTTAATAATAATAAAAAGTATTGTGCAGTCCCTGTTTTTTGCAAAATCACAAAAAAAATGAAGGGAATTACAATGTCGTTCCCAGTCCTTTTTGCTTTTTAGACTTTACTCTTGTTATTGGTAAGAATAGATGAAACGATAACAGCTACAATAAGCCCATTTTCTCTCACATATCTAGTTGATTTACGGTTTTATATGTATCCACCCAGGCAAAACCTAGTGCTAAGAAAGCCAAAAGGATTAAAAAAATGACTTTTTCTTTTATGAGGGACATTTACATAATGAATCATCTTTTCTAAACAGCTATTATGGAAATTACAATGAAGCTAAATGAGAATAAAATTTAGCATCGGAGCCCTGTAGGTCTATATTCAACGGCAATGCACTCTCTACCCGTCTCAAATTCTGATTGGCTCTCTGTGGAAAACGTAGGAGATACCTAAGAAAGCATCTTCAGCATAGGATTGATATTTTTGACTCGAAACCACCTTTTTCGAATAGCATTTGATGTCCGTGCATAGCCTCAAAGGGAAGAAGGGAACATTATCAATTAACCCTCCTCCCAACGAGTTCGCTCACTATTATCCAAGCTATCAATACTTATTTTCTAGGATAGCTCCGAAATGTGCATTTTTGGTGCCACTTCAGTCATAGCATTGAGACATGCTTTGGGGCCTACGTCACTTGCATTCTCTACAGCGCCATTCAAATATTTTGTGTCGGACTGAGTTATAGAAATATTATTCTCCCCTATTAACGCGTCGCTCATCACATCTGTTATGGGGAGAACCGGTACGAAGGCTGGAGGTTGTAGTGGTGAGATAAACACTGCTTCATCTTTACCGCTTAGTACGCTATGTTTTTCGTTTTCCTCGGTCGTTCTGCTACCGCTCGGTTTTGTCTCGTTAACTTGGGGATCAGCTTCATTTTCGATATCAGCAAAGGAGGACATTTTTGCCTGTGAAGATTCTGGCGGTATGCCTGATAATAAAGACCCTTCCAGTTTGATATCATTCGGATTTTTACCCTCAGAAGCACTGCTGTTGGCTTGAGGCAAGTTATCGCTTCCTTCTTTCATCCCTATGTTTGGGAAGGGAAAAGATTCTCTCTGCCCCACTGGGAACTGCTTGGGCGACAAGGAAACACACCCTACCGAAATCTGATCCGTCGTATTCGTTACAGCCGTTTCTGTAGGTGCCGTAATGGTGAAAAAAGGCCGAAGAGGAACCATTGCTGTCATTACCACCTCTTCCAGATCCTCAGAACCACGATGGCGACTCTTCACAGTTTTTGTATCAATCGCCGAGCTTGAGCTTTGTGAGGGTCGTGTGGCGTGCCGACCCGTATCATTGTGCGTCCCCTCATGAACCGATGATCCAGGTGTCTCCCTCGTTGGTGGTAGCGGCCGGGTAACAATGGAAGAGGGTGCGAGATTAACCCAGCTGTCTTCTTTACTCTCCGTAAGATCGGCCTCACCGCTATCGGCATTCCCAGGCTCCGTGAAATCTGAAGGCTTCTCAGAAGACGCCAAGACCGTAACAGGGTAAACATCTGGCAAGGTTGTAACTTTCGGCGATAAGGGCACGTCATCTTCCTGACAAACCCCCTGTGGAGAAAAGGGGGGAATTGGAGTAGTATTTGAAATAGTATTTGGTGGCGGAATAGTCATATGGGGATCAGACAGGTGTCCTTCAATTAGAGGCGATACCAATTCCACTTGTGAAGTCATGGAATATTTCGCAGTATGTATTTCTATAATCGAGCTATTTTTTTGCTCCAAAACTCCCCCAATACCAGAGAAAATTGGAGCTTCAGTGATGAGTAAACTGGGCCTCGAGTGATTTAGCTCCTTCTTGGACAGTTCCTTGTCTTCTGAATGCTTGTCCTCAGGCACTGATGATCCATCTATGTTGGAAGATGTAGCCGCACTTAAGTGTACGATAGAGACCAAGGGACCCTGAATTGATGGGGCAGATTTCACACTAAACGATCGCGAAGACTGGGGAGTCGGCTTTTCGCTAGAAAGAGATGAGCTATAATGTGGCTCGTGAGGGTTAGTTGTGGACTCCTCTTTTGCGAGTCTTTGAGTGCTTTCTGACAAAGAAGCTGTAGAACTAGAAGTGTGAGCGCCCAGTTGATTGTTCGGTGAAGAATTATCAGATCCTAAAGCTGCAAGCGCGTGCGTGGCATAACCAGAAGCCTCTAACCTGCCTTGCAGGTTGTGCAAATCTGACATATGTTCGACGGTTGGATATTTTACAGAGGACTGAGGACTAATGCTGTCCTCGCCACGAGAGTGATGCTGTGTGGGCACCAGGTGCTGATCAGCGTGTAAACCAACTCCATTCATAGCGTCTGGACTTTGAAAATGTGTAATCTCCATTAAACGTGCGAGCTTCTTCTCGAGTTGTTGAAGGGTCTCACAAAGCTTCGCCTCTCTATCGCTGGCAAGGCTTCTTTCTTTCTCAATTTGCATCCTCATGTTCTCATCAAAATGTGCACTTCGCACTCTTGCGGTCTCGATTTCATCGCGGAGAGCTGCCTCTTGATCATTTTTCTCTTTGAGAAGCCTCTGGAATTTATCTCGCTCCTCTACTACAGTTTGCATCTCCTCTAATGACACTCCTTTGACAAAAAGCTGCTTGTACTTGTCCAATTGACGATCAGATTGAATCAAAAGGGTCCGTGTTCGTTCAAGGTCCTGCTGCTGTAAAACTAAATTTTCTGGCAAGAGCCGAAGCACTGATAATTCATTTGTCATCAACGTGTTTTCGTTCCTAAGCTTTTCGAGCATAGCAAGAGCTTGTAAAGTTTCTTTTTCATCAGATTTTTTTCGCTGAATTAGTGTGTTCAATTGTTTGCTCATTTGTTGTATTGACTCCTCCTTTTTAAGTGTATCCTCTATCCCGTCTACCTGATAGTAACCAAAATCATGTATAATAGACATTGGGGCTGAAGAACTATGGTCCTTCTTCATATAATCATTAGCATTTTGTAAAGAAGTAAATTTGGCTGCCTCAAAACCATTGGCTTGTTCGGAGCTCAGGTTGCGATTAAGCAGCTGTCGTAACACACTTTCGGTCGCTTGTAATTCCAATGAGAGTTGATGCACACGAAATGTTCGCCGATCACGCCTGAGAAGGTCAATTTCCTGCAGTGAGGCAGTCAATTTTTCCTCCAAGAAGCATATTCTTTTAATTAAATCTTCACTCACTGGTGCAATAGATTTTTCTGCAAGGTATGACGGTTCAATAAGGGCTGCTCCATCAGAATGTATTCCAGAGAGTGACATATGACCACAAGATTTCATTACTGCCTCTCGCGAGAAGCGTGCCGTCATCTCAGCACGACGAAGTGCTTTCTTCAGCGAGTGAACCTCCTCTTTCTTATCGTTGAGTTCACGATCCATCTTAAGTAAACGATCGACATTTTTTATGCGAACAAATGGCACTTCTGAATAAGTTAAGGAGTTAGTGGCATGGCGTCTCCGCATGATTTTAGTCCCTTCAGTAATTTTATGAGTGAAGTTAGTTCCGCATCCATGGAGTCCGCGTGAATTGATGGGTCTGCTTCTTGGCAACGTCGCTAAGGCTGGTGAATTTATTTTCACAAGATCGGATCCTGAGTTACTCCTTCTATGATTAGCTAGTGAATTGTTGTAAACATGATCAAGCCTTGAGCTATGATGTTGAAGAAGTTCAGACATGTTGTTAAGATGATTCTTGGGTTTAATTGCATAAGGCGTTTGAGATACCCTACACGTTTGATGATTCTCTCTCATTTTAGGTCTTACAGCTCCCCTCCAAGCAACCACGTTTTCATTTTTTTCTGGTTTATGTGGCACCTTATAAAGTTCACCACGCATAGGAATGCTTAGATGTGCAAATGGTGCTGCGAAAGCGTAAGGCTTAACCCCTGGTTCGCGGTGCTCAATATCACTTGGACCCAACAAACATTCAGAAGCAGGCTCCTCTACAGGACTTTTTGACACCAATGAAGCGTTTACGCCCCTGTCAGGGCAAACATCGCAGAGAGTAGTCGTTCCAAATGAATTCGGAGAGGCTTTTTCTATCGGTGTTGTAGTACTCATACTGATCTATGAAATCTACTCAGAGCTGTCTCTGTAGTTTTATTAAAAATAAATAAAACTACAAAAAAAAAGAGACACAATGCTACGAGCTCGTTGAAAAATAAAGCAGGTAAAGGTAAGAAGTCTTTTATAAATATTTTTATCAATATATAGACGCTCCACGTCACATTTCCCAACAAGGACATGGGAAAAGGAAAAGTTGAGCTTTTAGTCACAAACACTTGATCAAAATATGAAGGATTTGAAAAACTCCATAAAAAAGTTTGAGAATACGAAAATTTGCTTTGCGTTCGATCAAAAGGTAAGTTTTCAAATAGGAAGTATCCTACTTTATGAATAGTAAACGATGGGGAAAAATGACTAGCATCCCATTGGTTTTAACTGCCAATAAATATGGGCATCCATTTTGTGTACATAGTTCAACGAGTCATCCTAAATTCGTTGACAACGGAATCTGAAGCTCATATAATTTCAGCACTGTTACCACACCTTTGGGAATTGTTCGCTTTATTTACATAGGAAAATTCTCAATAACATAAATGTGGATATCAAAGTTACTGAACCATATATTCCCAATTATAATACATCGCATGTTACTTGCACAAATAACATGATCAATATAATATCCAAACTGCATAGCTTTCTAAGATAGAAATTTGTATTAATGATATCGATACCCAGAACAAGGAAAAACAGCTTAATATTTTTCACATGTCAGTTGATTCACATTAAAGAAAAGACCTAAAGCTTTTGATTTTGACAAATTTTTTATTCATTTTGTGTGTGTCAGCGGGAGGGGGGGGGGGGGAAGGGGATAAAGGCTACGAGTATTCTATACATTTATCATCTTTTCTTCTGTGTAAGCTTATTGAAAATATGTTCATATACTGATGTGTATAGTGATTTGAAAAATACAAAGGGGATTATTTATATCAGACCAAGTGTCACATTGATTCCAAGGCAACCCTCTTCCTGATACTGCAGCAAAAGAACAACATACGTAAATTGGAATTTTTTATCTCTTGTTAGAACATTTTCGTGATACAAAACATGTCCTAATGAAGGAAAAGCTCGAAGTTCGGAAAACGAAGTTCTAGATTTGTACAATAATAAATATTGCAACTGAAAATAGAGTTTGTACTTTTTTTTGGTGGACACTTAAGGGAATTGTACTGCGAATTTCTTTGATTCCGTTGACTCTTCTAAAATGTTCACTCGATCGGACTCATAGCGTTCAGACTTAACTTGACTTACACTGGTAAATGCCAGTGCAATTTCCATTTGTTTTACCATGGCTGACATATCGAATACCTTGCTTGTGATATTGTCCTGACAAACAAAAAAACAATTGTTGTGTGAAATTCGGTGGGCATGTTTTCAGCGGCCAGAGATAATATGAATGCAGGGGCCCATTTACTAGCATCATATGCTACCAAAATCAATACGTATTGGTTCTGACCACTTACTCAATGACCTGATCATTTTATAAATATCTTCCGTAACCTCGTCGTTTCCTAGTTGCAGGCAAAAAAAAATTACAGGGTGTACTCTTATCATGAACAGTGTCTAGGAGTTATATTCTCTTGAGAGACATACCTACATTGTTGTTACGGCAGTAGTCATGTTACTGTTGAACTACAGAAGATGTGTTATAGTTGTTGTCAATATCATATTACACGATATGCAGGAGGATTTACAACAGAAAACTTAATGTAGCAAAACTTGCTTCTACATTTCAAGTGATTCCTGGAGGCGATTTGATCTGAAAAAAGTTTATGCTGGATATACGTTCGACGGAAGTCATTATTCAATTTGCACGTTTGCTGTGCGAATTTGATCCCCTTGTAATTCTATTATAGTGTTCGAGAAGTGGTTACCTAGGGCCACTATCGATACCACAGACCTTTTTTCCCCAAAATTCACCCGTTCCATATCTCCGTGCTTGTCCCCTAAAATATCTTCATAAAAAAAAAATCAGCACCGACATCCTGAGTAGCCTTCTTTGAATTCAACAGAACGGAAAGCAAATCAATGAAATATATCTTAAAGATCTTTAACGCTTCCGACGTCCTTCTCTAAGGTTTGTCTTGAGGCAGGGTTGCCAGGGATCTAGTAAATTGAGACGGCTGACAAGAATAGAAGTATTGTGTTAGAATGCGCATTGTCACCGTCATGAATTCAGTGTGCAGTTCACGCAAGCGCTTCTCCCGCGCAACAGTGCTCAGGAGTGCATTAGAGCCTTGAGCCATGCAAGGAGGCCACTGATGTTAAAACCAATCCTGGCGCTAATTGACACAACAAAGGCATGAATAGAAAACAAAAGTGAGGGAGAACGGCGTTCAAGAATCTGAAATAGAAAGGGCATTGTGGTACACTTAAACTGCATACACGCTTCAGTAGCATCATCCAGATCGATATTGTGCGCTTCCTTAGGTACAACTCTGAAGTTTAGTGTAAAAGCAATGCAGCAGTTGTACGGAACGTGTTGCACTCCCTAAACAGCGTGGTCCAGCGTTCTAGGATGAATGCAATTTATCAGAAAAATAACTAGATGGCTGTCACGATATTAGTCAATTTTATGTGCATCAGACATACACAAAACCATTTTTAAGAATTGCTCAAATCAAGCTGTTGCACTATGAGGCATAATAGTAAGAATGGCTCCCAGTGTTGATTCACCGCTATCAATAATATTCAAAATATTCACCCTGGTGCTCCCATGAGAAGCGCAGACTTCTTCCAGGAAGTATAGTATTGTTACAGTAACTTCAAGAGGCCTTGTAAACAGAAAAAAGTGGATACTCAACGAAAAGAGACAATAAATTGCTCTTACCTACACTACACACACTACGCATTACTAGATTCATCTTGCGTACAGTTTCTTTCTCTATTTGTTCCGCATTTTTAGCTAAAGCAAACGAATCTTCGCCCTGTAACCTTCATATGAGTTCATTAGTAACGTACTATAATGTCTAAGGGTAAATTTATCCTAACCAAAAGGATAAAGAGTTTATAAAAGCAATAACGTTAATCAAGACAGACCCTCTCACACTTGTTCTGTATATTTGGTACCCACTTTCTCGTAACGCTCTTTAAAGGGTATTTCATTGTAGTATCTGATATTTGTACTTTGAAAGGGGATAAATATCGCGTTGTAATTTAGGTAATTATCATAAAGTAAATAACGATTAATTAAGATTGAGACTCATTATCATTTTCCCTGTCTTCCCTTTGCTCTAGTAAAAAATGTATAAAACAGGGGGCAATAGAAAACAAACGCAAAGAAAAACATGTTAAGACGCATATAAATCTATAAGGCATTGAGAATCATGCCGTTATGGCTCTTTGGTTTTTTTAAACTCCTTTTGGGCGCTTCCATGATGGCCTTATAATAATTATTATAACGCTAACATGAGAGCATATATATAATTAGAAGAGGAACTAAATTGGTCACAAACCTCTAGAAAGCTAAAAACTATAGCAAATTACAAAAAAAAATATTAAACAAGCGTGCATTTGCACCTTCGGTTTTTCTTGGACACTGAAGATGATGGTAGTTTCATCCTCTCCTGATTTTCCTTCGTGGATTTCTGTCTTTTTTGTGGGATTTGGGCTTTGACGTCCGAAAAGTCTGACGCAGGTCTATAAGTATGTCCATCTGTAATAATCGGGACGGCGGTCGTCACTTTTTGCAGAACTAGACCTGAATCAAGCGAATCTTTATGCGATTTTCTGGCTCGATATTCACTTTCCTTAGCGCGATTTACGGCACATCCACTTTCCGTGTCTAAGGCTTTGAATTGACTTGAGAACTTTTCAGACCCATCAATCTCTTCAACTACAAGACACTGCTGAACGATGAACTCGAATAACTGAAAAACATTAAAGTTATCCTTGCTAGAGACACGAAACAACGGAAGCTGAAACTCCTCAGCTAGCCCTACAGCCTCTCTATCTGTAACAGAAGATTCATGAAAGAGATCATATTTGGTTTGACAGAGCACCATCACAATGGGTCCACAAACGAACTCTACTTTTTGCTTCCATTTCGCCACATCAGTGTAGCTATCATGATCCACCGTACTAAACACAAGGACCGCGGCACCGGCTCCATAGTAATAGCCCTGGGTAAGGGCGCTGGACGTCTCCTGCCCAGCCGTGTCCCATAGCATGAGTTTTACCGCAATCTGGGATTCACTAGAAAAGACATCTTTCTCGAGAAATTCAGCCCCAATTGTCTTGGTATATAGATCAATAAAGCTACAACAAACAAAACGATGTAGTAGACACGTTTTCCCAACACCACAATTACCCACAACGATCACTTTGATGCATTCCTCGGATCCACAGCTCATCGTTTAATTCAGCTCAAAAGCTAAAAATAAAGCGAAATTTAACAAAAGAAAAAAACAAGAAAATGATAAATAATTTTGGCCGGACTTCGACTTTATCCTTCCACTATAATGTGTCTAGAAAAATAGATGGGCATATATATATATATCTTCCTAACACAATCCTGAAAATCAATGACGTTAAAGAACTTGAGAGAAGTTAGAAAAAAGTAGTAAACAAATAACCCCAAAAGTGCTAAATAGTTGGAGCAATATTTTGGTATTTTTTAAACGTTACATAATAATTATGTTCTTCTTTATGGAAAATTGTTTAGGAGTCTATCCATACAGATATGTTTTTTATAGGTTCACACAAAGTACTTTATGTTATATAAATGTTATCTTACTTAACAAAAAGTAATAAAGATATGTAAACACGCACACTAACAATTCATATCGGAATGCGACACTAACCAAACTGTTCTCCTTTTCAGACGCAAATTGTGAATAAACTTTTATTGTACTTTTCATAAGGTATAGTGTAATGGTTTGCACTGTTTAGTAATAATGAAAAGTATGTATAAATTCTTATAAAATACAAATAATAAATAATTGACTTCAGATAAATAGGTTAATATGAAAAAGACGGTAAACATCCCTTTTATGATTTGCTTCATTTAAAATCACACCTCTCCACCAAGCGTCTTGTTTCTTCAGAGAGTTTTTCGGGCATGTCAATATGAAACGTCATGTAAAGATCACCACGAGAATTAACTTTACGATTTGGCATTCCCTCTTGACGAATGCGCAGCTTGCGACCCTCCTTAGTAATATTTGTCAATGGAAGTGTATGAATCTTGTCGTCAATACCCTTAACCTGCACGGTAGTGCCCAAGAGCGCCTGTTTTAAGTTGATATGCATATCAGTGAATAAATCAGCATCTACTCGCTTGAAGCGAGGATGTGGCTTCTCATCCAGGACGAATACCATATCAGCAAAAACATTAGGTGCGTAACCTTTAACGCAACCGCCTTCACGTTCGAATCGTATCTTGGTCCCTTTTTTATACCCTGGTAAGACGTTAACCTCAAATTCCTTCTTGTCTTGCCCGTTAGGCATATTACGAGATAAGTTAAACTTTCTTACACATCCGTGGAAAATTTCTTCTAGTGTGCAGGAAAAAGTGTACTCGATTGCAGGCACCTCACGGTCAGGTGAAACCTGCGGAGTCGCAAATCCAGTCATAAAGCCCTCCGATCCACCAAAACCACGGAAAATACGATGCAATCCAGGACCACCGCCACCAAAGGCTTCACCGCCACTAAAGGGATCCTGTGTACCAAAGAAACGTTCAAAGATGCCAAAGGCATCGTCTGTGGTAAAAGTATATGCACCACGACGACAATCACCGCCCTGAGTTGACCACTGAGAATTCATGTGTGTACCGTCACCCTGGCCCATACCACCTTTAAGTCCTTCCTCCCCACATTGGTCATAGATAGCCTTCTTCTTTTCATCACTAAGAACATCGTAGGCTTCACTGATCTCTTTAAATTTTCGCTCCGCCGCCTCACGGTTATCCTTGTTCTTGTCTGGGTGGTACTTCAGGGCCATCTGATGATAAGCCTTTTTGATAGTCTTTTGATCGGCATTTCGCGGTATACTCAACGTTTTATAATAATCCACACCCATTTTTTTTTAATTAAGACACCGATTGTATTATTTTAATAACCTATTGTAAGACCTGATAAGTATGCAAATATGTATTTAAAATACAATTTTTCGTCCTTTGAAAAAAAAGTGTTTATAGTACAATAATCTAATAACAATATTATCCTTAAGTTAAAAGAAATTCAAATGAAAAAAGTTATAGATTGTCTATCTTAATACATTTAAAAACTCCTTTGAAGATGCAAATATTCTATGCAGAGTCAATAATATCATTATTGATATTTTCTATAACAATTTTTGTATAAAGTAAATATATATATATATATATATATATAATTGTTAAAAGATATAATTTCACAGATAACCATACTATTCGAATCATAGATTTGTGTATTTGGTGCGGTAATAAAGTTAAAGAAATGAGGCTCTAGATAGCTATAATATTATAGATGAACAAAATAAAAAAATAATAATAATATAGTAAATAAAAGTGATTATATGAGACAAAAATGCCCAAGAAAAAAAAGCCCAAATAGTTTAATCATATACGAATATTATTGGTCTAAGCAAGTTATTCACTATAAAAAATATATATAAAACAATAATCTAAAATAGCCTGATGAAGAAATCAATACGTTTTAGGGAAATATAGTAATAAAAAAATTAGGGATAAAAAAAATGTTTGTAATAGCCGTTTGAGATATACTGATTCTGTATTTTTACCATTATATCTGTGTATAGAGGCTATGCACAACATTTTTTGTCAAAAAAAAGGTATCTTTAAATAATATCTCATGACCAATAAAATCTCACAAATTCCTGAAGCAAAAAAAACACCATTTTCAAATTAAAAAATGTTTTGATGAAATAAAAGCTAACACTGACACTAAGTTTAAAAAAAAAACAATAAATATAAGACAACGATCCTCGGTGTAAAAAATTATAACATACCCTAAATCGAGTCGCTGCATATAGCCAGGTGTTAACAGAAATAATAGTTATAAGGGTAGAAAATTGACAGTTTAAAATATAAAGTCAAAGTGCTACATATTTCGGAAAACTGATCCCATTAGAACACAAAAAAAGAGTGTTACAAAAAATAAAGTATATTAATAATCACCAATCTCGTCTACGCTATCGTCCCATGGGTGCAAGAAAAAGAATTCCACAACAAAGCATACAATGCCGATGCAACCAAAGAATATGAACGCCACAGCTTGGCCCTTGTCCTGGTCCCCAGAGGGGCCACCCGAAATCTTCTCTGTCAAGATGGGATAGCACAAGTTGATGATGATGTTGAAGATAAACTGCGCCACCATGGTGAAGGAGGCTCCCTTGGGGCGGAATGATGGTGGGAACATATCCTGTGAGAGCACGTAGAAGCACGGTCCGACGCCAAACTCGAAAAAGGCAATAAATAAAAGGATACCGGTGATGGCCACACCGTTTTTGACGTTTGTGGACGCAACGCCTGGATACACAGGAATACCACACAGGAGGAGGCAGCACACTGAGGTCAGGAAGGAGCACGCCAAGAATAACTGACGCATCGTGAGCACCGAGGCGAGCGGGATTGAGATAATGGTTGTCACGAAGTTCCACAGCATAACAATAAAGTTACCCACCAATGCCGCAAGGCTGAAACTGGACATAATCGTTGGCGCGTAGTTCATAACGGCATTAATGCCAGTCAACTGTAGCGTGCCGGCCACCATAACGCCCATGAAGATCCGGAAAGACATCTGGTAAATGGTGTACTGCTTCCCACCTGTCTTTTCGTTGTCCTCCTGTTGCTGCCCACCGTCCGAGTGATACACGTCCTCATCACTCTCGTGAAGACCATATCCCCCAAGGAAGAGCCCCAGGAGAACCATGAACAGCGACAAGAGCGTCGAAAACGCGCAGATACACTGCATACGGCCAGCAAGATGCTGGTTATTACCAGACTCAAACCCGATGCTCTGGCCCACCGCCATACCTACAAGGGCCGCCAGGAAGATACCGAACGTTGTGAAAAACTGAAACAGGACACCCAACATCTTGCTGTATTTGGGACACGCTCTTTCCGATACGTACATAGGGCAAGCAACGCACACTAGGCCCAGGACAAGGCCTATCAGTAGGCGGCCAATGCATAGCACCCAGAACTGATCTGCGGCTGTTGCGATGTGGTACAACACAGAGGACACAACACCCACACAGCCAATGACGAAGAAAGAAAGCTTAGGACCCAATCGTTTCGCAATCGGTCCTGCAAAAAAGGAACCAATCATGCAACCCACAATCATGGAAGTCGCGAAGGTGCCG